AAGCCTACTCCACACAAACCACCCTAGGCTTCCAAAATATTATCACTCATTCACTGTTGTTCTGTGGATTCCTTCTGAGACATTGCCTTCACTTACTACTCACTTAGCGAAGGAGACCAGTGTCATACATGTCATTAGACTGCTGACCATCCCCAATGGCAAAAAGAAACCTGATGCTTACATTCTTAGTTTTTTCTCATGCTTACCCTTACTGAACTATTTCCAGAGGCTCTTCCCAGCTCCAGAGGGGCTGAGTTAAGGTTGTTTTTCAGGGCTGGTATAAACCTTAACTCTGTATTTACTGGTTTTCAGAGGCTTAAGTGTAGATGCATTTGATGTTCTGGAAAGATAAGAGGCACTGCTTGTCAGGACATGGGTGTTCAGGCTTAATGGTCAGAGCCATGGGGGTGGCCAGGCCTGGGGTTTAAAGCAGAGCTGAGATAGAGTCAAGAATCAGGACCACAGGACACTTGGGGTTGTAACTGAGATTAGAGCCAAAGGCAGAGAGAGGGATCAGAAACCGAATGCCAGAGGCAATGGGCTAGCAAAAGATGTGGTCAGGAAGTGGAGCCAGGGGTCACAACCAGGGGTGTCATGGATGGGTAAGGGCAGGAGCAGGGTGGGCAGGTAGGCACAGGCTGGATGGAAGTAAGAGCAGGTGCAGGAAACAGGATTAAGCAGCTGCGGCATGGAACACGTTGAGCAGCCAATGAGCGCTCGGTACTGCTGGGTCAAGCAGTAGTTTAGCTCCACCGGTCAGGAAGTGCAGTCCATCCGACAGCCCCCGTCAGGGTCAGCTATGCTCGATATGTTGCTAGGAGACTGACACTGCTGGTCAGTCTTAACTCTGTGTTAACACAATTTTTGGGTAATGAATTATGCATTCAAGACAAATAGGGGCTAAAACAGATCTTCCATTGCTTTTTGAGGTGGTGGGGAGCAGAAAAGTATATTGTCATCTGATCTTTTCTTGGTAAGACTCAATCAGAACACTTAAAGATCTTTTAGAAATACAAGGAAATTTGCAATAGTGCCTTCTCAATCAAACTGGAGGCTTGTCTTATCTACAAACATGTCTTCTCTCTTCACCTATTTCAAAACCTTACAAATCAGGGTGGGAGACAGTATGTCAGTGGGTGACAATATAGACCTTCTGCAGGGACATACCCATACTTCTGACCCCATAATACCCAATCTGATGAGGTTTCCTCTACTGTTAAATATGTTCATTCAAAATCCCAGTTTTCATTACCTCTTGTTTAGCTACTGAGATAGATTATTACTGTTTTAACTGGTTTCCTAGCTTTAATCTCCTGTATTGATTACAAAGTGTAGGATAACTTTGAAAGGTAGTGCCACAGTCGGAGGAAGAGATCTTTATAATCTGGTCTCTTGTGGATCGTATTGACTGGTCTAGAGATGGTTGAACATTAGGTGTAATTTAAGTTAATATTCCCTTTCTTGGAGAGCCTGTATTTACTGTTTTGGACTCTCTCTCCTTGCTAAAGGTGAGTTCTTGAGTGTACGTTTTCTGCCACTGAATTTTGAGAGCACTGCCTCACCTCTTGGCACTTCGTACTACCTGGCACATCAATGACACTTAAATCTTGTCGGTGGTACTGGTGCTCCTTCCCATTCCTGGCACTCACTACCCTGGACATTTCACTAGTCTGCATGAGACTCCTCTGTAATTGATACAACTTGAGGAGGTTTTGCTGTACATTTATTTCATGCAGTATCCTTGATTTCTAATCATGTTCTGTTTTTTTTCCCCTGTAAAATTTGGTAATCCACAATAGGTGTCTCTGTCATCAATACAAAGAGGTTCTACTGTATAATATAATGCAAGATTTTCTTTTGGAATGTGCTTGGATATAACCTTCAGGCACAGTTTTTGCATCCAATATTTACTATCAGGCCTAGAGATGCTGTATTTTCTCTCACTCAGGTTAATGATCCTTAGATCTACACTGTACAGATTGGAGCATCCAAATAAATAGAAAGTATATTTTATATGGAATATTTTTGTAGCTTTGACCCAGCCACCTCAACCCTTTGCTCTGGTTTGGCCTTGGTTTTGGGGTAAAAAACCAGAAAGACCTTGGTCAAAGAAGTTTTGAATTCCACGGGAGATAATTTCAGTGGAGAGCATTACAAGAGGAATGTTAATGTTTTAGAACATTTTGTTTCTCCAGTTTGAGCCAAATCCTGCTTTCTTCACTCACGTGAGTATTCACATAGACGTAAATACAACTGCATGTGTGGGTGAAGCCAATAGCTTTAGCCCTATGCAGTTAGTTAATCCTTCCTGAGTGTCCAGGCAATGGTGAATCAATTCTACAATGTTGGCAAATTATGGAAACAGTCTGATTCTTCTCTTATGGTGTAAATCTGGAGTAACTCTATTGTAATCAATTTTTAACAAGGCAGTTAGTTCCATAGTATCCAGAAATTATCCCATCCCGCTCACACGGGGTATTTAGCTTTATTTTGGGTTAAGTCCTGCAATCTTTATTCCATTCTCATTTAGCCAGTACTCCCATTGTAGAAAACAGAAGCATTGTCTGAACAAAAATGACAGGGTTTCACCTTTAGAAATTATACACTATTTTGTAATAGCTGCAGATCAGATGGTACTATCTGTTTTTAAGCAGAAATTCCCATTTGTAGAATAGGGTCTTGTATTTGTCACAGGGTAGCTGGTCCCTGTGCACAGACTAAGCCTGGCTCCCCTGGACTGGAGCAGACGAGTCCAATCCAGCCAATTCAAGAGGGCTGGGCTACACCTGAGCCTACAAAGGGCTGTTAGTGGGCAGTTGGGGGATGGACTGAGACAGGTGGTGCCATGGGGAGGGAAAGCCACAACAGAGTCCTGGCACAGTCAAGGAACTATGATGTGATTGGAATAACAGCGACTCGGTGGGGAAAGTCACGTCTGGAGCACTGTTATGGATGGGTATAAACTGTTCAGGAGGGAGAGAAAAGGTGGAGGAGTTGCACTGTATGTAAGAGAGCAGCATGATTGCTCAGAGCTCCAGTATGAAACCGGAGAAAAGCGTGTTGAGAGTCTTTGGGTTAAGTTTAGAGGCAAGAGCAACAAGGGTGATGTCATGGTGGGCATCTGCTATAGACCACCAGACCAGGAGGAAGAGGTAGATAAGGCTTTCTTTGGACAACTAACAGAAGTTTCCAGATCACAGGCCCTGGTTCTCATGGGGGACTTCAATCACCCTGACATCTGTTGGGAGAGCAATACAGCAGTACACAGACAATCCAGGAAGTTTTTGGAGAGTGTTGGGGACAACTTCCTGGTGTAAATGCTGGAGAAACCAACTAGAGGCCATGCTTCTCTTGACCTGCTGCTTACAAACAGGGAAGAATTGGTAGGAGAAGTAGAAGTGGGTGACAAGCTGTGCAGCAGTGACCATGAGATGGTCGAGTTCAGGATCCTGACAAAGGAAGAAAGGAGAGCAGCAGAATATGAACCCTGGACTTCAGAAAAGCAGATTTTGACTCCCTCAGGGAACTGATGGGCAGGATCCCATGGGGGGCTAATATGAGGGGGAAAGGAGTCCAGAAGAGCTGGCTGTATTTTAAAGACGCCTTATTGAGGGCGCAGGAACAAACCATCCCGATGTCCAGAAAGAATAGACAATATGGCAGGCGACCGCATGGCTTAACAGAGAAATCTTCTGAGAGCTTAAACACAAAAAGGGAAGCTTACAAGAAGTGGAAACTTGGACAGATGATTAGGGAAGAGTATAAAAATATTGCTCTAGCATGTAGGGGTGTAATGAGGAAGGCCAAAGCACAACTGGAGTTGCAGCTACCAAAGGATGTGAAGAGTAACAAGAAGGGTTTCTACAGGTATGTTAGCAACAAGAAGAAGGTCAGGGAAAGTGTGGGACCCTTACTGAATGGGGAAGGCAGCCTAGTGACAGATGATGTGGAAAAAGCTGAAGTACTCAGAGAAATTGGAGAGAGTCCAGCAGAGGGCAACGGAAATGATTAGGGGCCTGGGGCACATGACTTATGAGGAGAGACTGAGGGAATTGGGCTTATTTAATCAGCAAAAGAGAAGATTGAGGGGGGATTTGATAGCAGCCTTCAAATTACCTGAACGGGGGTTCCAAAGAGGATGGAGCTAGGCTGTTGTCAGTGTGGCAGATGACAGAACAAGAAGCAATGGTCTCAAGTTGCAGTGGGGGAGGTGTAGGTTGGATATTAGGAAACACTATTTCACTAGGAGGGTGGTGAAGCACTGGAATGGGTTACCTAGGGAGGTGGTGGAATCTCCATACTTAGAGGTTTTTAAGGCCCGGCTTGACAAAGCCCTGGCTGGGATTATTTAGTTGGGGTTGGTCCTGCTTTGAGCAGGGGATTGGACTAGATGACCTCCTGAGGTCTCTTCCAACCCTAATCTTCTATGATTCTATGAAAGGAGCTGGCTCCTATGGTAGGTCCACGGAGGAAGGGGCAGGAGCTCAGGGAAGTAGCCATGGAGCTGGTGCTCCAGAAAGGGAGCAGAGCTGACAGAAATTGGGAAGCTGCCAGGGGCAGGAGTGCCAGAGACCCCTGGAAGGAGTGGCCCTGAAGTCTGAGGCTAAGGAAGTTAAGACTGTGTTTTTCTGTTTGTTTGCTAACCTCCTTGCAAAGAATAGGCATGGCAGAGGATGCTTTGGAGCTGGGGAAAAGCATGGCCTGGTGACAGTTCTCCTTCATGGTTTTCAATATTTAGATTATGAATACATCTGTGTTTAACTCTTAATTTTTTGCATCCTACAAAAAGTTCTTTGATTTAATTTAATTATATTTATGCTTGTTTAATATTTTAGTTTTTCTTCTCAGTAAGTAAAATAATACATGTATTTCACAGACCTATTTTTTCCTTTTCCATTTAAAGTTTTCTCTCTCTTCCCCCATACCCTCCGCCGTTGTTGCTAATGAGTGTATCAAAAATAGATACGTTCATCATTCAATAATATTTTGTATCTTTCTAGATTGGAGGCCAATGTAATTGTAAGAGACATGTGTCTGGCAGACAGTGCAATCAGTGCCAGGAAGGATTCTACAATCTACAACAGTCAGACCCTGATGGCTGCAGTCCCTGTAACTGTAATACCTCTGGGACAGTCAATGGAGATATTACCTGTCACCAAAATTCAGGCCAGTGCAAGTGCAAAGCAAATGTTATTGGTATGTGTAATGTAAGAGTTTTCAGCCATATTTCTTATCTGCTAGAAATAAAACATTTGATTTCTAAACTGAAAAATACAGTAAATTTCTTTTGCTGAAGGCAGATTAAAAAAACGGAATGAAATTAACTGTCTAAAAATTATTAATTTAATAATTCTATCAAACTATAGTTTGAAGCTTAGTTTAATCAACCCTTTAGAAGTCTCTTTATTCCATAGCTGCATTGGCTCACATAGCTCCATACTAATAACTCACAGAAATAATATTAATTTGCTTACCGCATAGATGTTTCTTTTAGGAAATTAGCACTTTTTCAAAATGTTTTATACTTAATGAGTTCTAAGCAAATCGTTTCCATGTTAGTTTTCTTAATAGACCAAAATAAATGGATTTTCCCCCCTCAAAATATTCTGTGCTACAGGGTCCTTTGTGATAAATCTTTCCATTTTTTTCTATTGTATTTCTTTGAACTGTTCCTATGAAATGCAAAATAAGTCAACATTATTCCACAGATCATGAACATTGCTAGGGTTAGTTATCAAGGGCCACATAATTTTAATTTTGTAATTCAATGCCAAGCTGATTATAATAAACTGCTACCTTCTGTGTTATTTATCATTTTTTTTACAAGACGTGCTTTTTTGTTTGTTACTCCCACAGGTATTTTTCAGAAATTAGATTTGATTATAGCAATTTATTACTTCCAGCATATTTGAGGGGAGCCACAGCCACATAAGGACAAAATTTATCAAGTGCCCAAAATACACAGTGTACATAATACACTTTGAAATATTGATGTATGGGAATATTATGCAAGGAGAATTTCCTGATAAAGTGAGCCCTGCATGGTAACTGTACGTGTCTCAGGCCATACATACGGCTCAAAAAAAACCTATACCAATTTATCATTCAAACTATTGGTAATCTGTATTTTCTGAACCAACTGTGATCATATGTTGATACTAAAAATACCTTTCAAGGTTCAGATCTTAGGTAATTCATATTTACTAAATTGTGAACAACTGCTTCTTCCAGACTTCTAAATCTCTGTTAGTGTCCACCCATATCTTTGTAAGAGAGAAATATGATAGCTGCCCGAAAAAGTTGAATTGTTGTGAATTTTTACAAGTTATTATTCTTTGTTCTTGTGGCTGGAATTTCCAAAATAAGCCAATAAATAAATAAATACATGAAAATGCTCCTCTAAAAGGATCTAATCCTGGGTAATTCTGAGCTTCCTTCATATGGAGTGCTGAGTGCCTTTAACTCCTGTTGTCTACAGTGGGGATTAAAGCATGGTCAACATCCCTCAGGAGGTGCTCAGGATCCTCGCAGGATCAAACAATCCTGATTTTTTCAGTGTAAACAGTTAATGCATCTTAAAATTGAATTTCCTAAATTAAATAAAATAGGAGTTTTCTAACAATTCTGTATTATATTTTTTTCATATACATTTGGGACCTGATTTTGGATTCTTTGTATATTCGCAAGCTTGCTTTGACGTCAGTGAGAAATGGGGTGTGCGAGGATTGCAGGATCAGACCCTTGCTTAGTTAAATTATTTCAAACCTTTTACACTATCTATGAAAATATTTGGGATGATTTTTCTCTTCACTTAAAAAACAATCTATGAGGGGTGGAGGAGAGGAAGATACATAAAGCCCAATGCTGTAAACATGTATGTACATGCTTATCTTTAAGCACAGTTGTCTCGTTGACTTCAGTGAGATTACTTGTGCTTAAAGTTAAGCACATCAGTAGGATTGTTTACACAACTGACTGTAAATACTCTGCTTTCCCTTGTTACCATATGTAAATAAGTGTTATTTACCAGTCCCTGTGCAGTGAACTTTTATAAAGAAAAGCTACCTCTTTAAAATGTAGGTTGAATTATTTTTTTTAAACTTGGTTTACAAGTAACCTTAGTCTATTGTCATTTTGTCTAAAGAAATGTGATAACAGAAAATGTAACTGTGTACTGCAGTGTTATAGAATGGGAACTGTTAGAGTTAACACAACTGTTAAATCTTACTAATGATTCTATCACCAGTAAAATACATTAGCACCAATAATTTTATTAAAGTAGGTCATTCATCTAGAATAAAAAGGTAGAAGAATGTGAATTAAATGCCAAGCGTGCTAACTCCCCTGTACTTGTTAACATTGAATGTGATGCCCTGTAGGCCTTCCTCAGTATCGTTAGGAATAGATTACCTGTCAGGAATATGTATGGCATATTCAAATAAGCACTGCGCATATTTTTAAAACTGATATGATATGAATCCATGTAGACCAATTTTAATAGTTCAAAATGAGTCATAATTCTTGTTAACAATACAGTTATTTTTAAAATTTGCAGCAATAGTGGGCCTTTTTTATTTTCCTTATTGAAATTAAATGATATGCCTTAGGTGAGCCATTCATCACTGTTAAAGGAACTTGCCTTCTGTTGGAGTTCTCGAGTTTTTATCCATGTATATAATGCATTTCCTACCATTTCAAGAGATGCTTTTCTACATATGAGTTTCTAAATGTATTATATTTATGCATTTTTTTTAAAGAATAGAAATATTTTGTTCGTACCTAAGTTGTTTTTTCTTTTACTGGATGCCACAATTAAACCATGGTATCATAGTGAAAGATTTTCCCACTGAAAAATAACACACATACACATGTGAGTTAGCATTTCTCAAATAATAATTTACTTTGCTTTCTTGTGAGGTAAATGTTATAAACTAAAATTCAGCTGCAACCCCCGAGGCAGGGATAAAGCAATGAATTTGAAAACAAAACTAACAGAGCTACAGGATGAAGTGTGGAAAAAAATTAATTTCTAATGTATTGTAAGTATTAACTGAATCATACATTTAGACAAAAGCATTATTTCATCTTGGATTATGGAAAACATTTTCTGTATCCCATAAAGACTCCTAATAAACTCTGGTATATAAGTGTAATCAATATTAAAATTGAATTATGATGAGTAAAACTCATAGAAATTAGTCTAATTTGCAGTGTTTATGTATATGTCATCAAAATGAGTTGACAGCCCTCAGCACAACTTCTGCCCATCCATTTTGTATCATCTCTTGTAGTTAAGAAGATAGGCCATGTAACAAGTGGTCACCTACATCACATTTAGTTTTTGCCAGAGATTTTAAAATGTGCTTGAGATGAAAATAAATCTACCTAAAAAAATGTTAATGAAAACCAACAAAAACCCTATTATTTCTTAAATATAAACATACAAAAAATAGCTGTTACATTAGCTCCTGCTGTTTTCTGTAGTTTTGTGCAGCCACCTCATTGCTGCTGCTATTAAAAATTGTGGTGGGAAAGAACTGTTTAAAAAAAGATCTAAAATATATAGTTTGTATTGAATTTCTGTTGATTGAATTGAATGTCCCCCCTCCTTCCTCCTTTTATTAATAACTTTTTCTCTCTTCAGGCCTCAAGTGTGATCGTTGTAATTTTGGATTTAAAATCAGCAGAAATTTTAATGAACATGGATGTGGGCCTTGTCTGTGCAATATCTATGGCTCACTGAACCAATTCTGCAACCCTTTTACTGGGCAGTGCAATTGTAAAGAAGACGCCAAAGGGCTTCAGTGTGACGCTTGCATGGACAACTTCTTTGGGCTGGATGCTACTGGCTGTAAGACTTGTGACTGTAATGTCGCAGGATCACTTTCTGGAATGGTTTGCAACTCTACCACAGGGCAATGTGTATGTAAACCTAATACTGGAGGAAGACAATGCAGTGAATGCTTAGATGGGTATTACAAAGTACAACAAAATAATTCCTTAGCCTGTCTGCCATGTAATTGTGATAATGCTGGTACAGTAAATGGCTCTCTGTTGTGTGACAAATCAACAGGACAGTGTCCTTGCAAAGCCGGTGTAACTGGGCTTCAGTGCAATCAGTGTGTGCCTCATATGTATAATCTTACCATTAGCAACCTTCTCGGCTGCCAGATTTGTGACTGTGACTCCTTGGGGACATTAGCAGGAACAGTTTGCGACCAGATTAGTGGACAATGTGTGTGCCTGCTTAATCGTCAAGGAAGAAGGTGTAATCAGTGTGAATCAGGTAAGGAAATCAGAAGAAAATTGCTTGTTACACTCTGCAGTATTCCAAAATCAGAAATGTCTTTTCCATTATTATACTGATCCTTTTTGATAGGGCTTTAGCCCTGTTTCACCTCCAATTTATACAAGTTTGTTTTCCATACTTGTACATCTCCATAGACATAAATAAAGTTACTCCTGATTTGACTGGTGATTTGTTATAGGAATTGCAGCAAATGGGGGTCTTGAGGAAGTAATTGAAAGATAGTTTCCTCAAAGATCAGTTCAGGAAGGGTCTTCCATGCATGAGCGGTTAGTATGGAGGAGGTTGTGGAGACATCTGTAGGAACAGCTTAGGAAGGCTGGCAAAACAAATTGTCCTATAAGTGCATGTGATTGCACCATCATGTTGGGGATATGCAGGTTCTCACAAGGGCTAAGCAAGGATTGGCCTTATAAGCAGCTGAAAATGCAATTGGTACGTCACAGAGCATTGAAACAATTAAGGAATTTCATTCTACATTACTGTAAATGGAGTTTATATCTGAGTTCATGATAGTGAGTAGCATTATAATTACCTTTTTATTAATTTTTAGAAAACAGGTGAATATAATGAAACCCCATGTATTATTAACCTAATCTGTGTTAAAGAGAGAGATTTAGTTCAAGTTAAATTTATAAGCAGTTTGTTAAAGTAGCAGTGCACATTAGAAGGTACATTAGAGCCTCATTGGTTTTAATATGCCATTCAATAACTTGAACATAGGTTAAAAATGCAGCTTAACCTCCATTAATATTTTTTTACATTAATTTAAATTATTTTAGGTATGTATACTAATAAATATAGCACTATTGTGGTTTTTTTTCATTCCTTCCCCAGTTCTATCTGACCTGCCGACACTCTACAGCAGGCACTTAATCAGAGAGCAGGCTGGGGCTAGGTGGAAGAGTGATGTCAAGGCTTCCTGAGCCAATGACCCACCCTTGTCCTTGAAAAGTGAAGGCAAGGGTTTATGTAGCTCTATAATGGTTTAAAAATGTCTAATTGATAGTATGAACAGAATAGCATGTGGAATAACCTACATGGCACACAAGGGAATATTTTCACATACTTGTTTGTTTTAAAAATATCTTGGTGTGAGAAAGTAATTTGTCTTGTTTTACTAAGAAGTGTATACAAATGTGTAAGTGATTAGCATTGAGTTTACTGCTTTATAGATTAGTTTGATATCTTAACATTGTAAGGGCCCCATCTTGTACTCCTTGTATTAAATAGGAGTTTTGTGTTGACTTCAGTGGTTTGGCCCTAATAATATCACCTAGCCTAGGTCTTGTATAGTTCTTTTCATCAGTAGATCTCAAAACACTTTACAAAGCAAGCCAATATCATATCCCCATTTTACAGATGGGGAAACTGAGTCACAGAACGGTGAAGTAACTTACCTCAGGTCACCCAGCAGGCCAGTGGTAGACCTGGGAATAGAACCCAGATGAACCAGAGTCCCAGACCAGTGCACTGTTTCCTGGACCACATGATAGATGCTGATATCAGCATACATTCAAAGGAGGGAGGAGAAATTATGACGATGTACAATAGTAACCCGAAAAAGATCTTTGAGGTGTCAGTATTAGATTATCACTGTTGTAATAATGAGGGGATTTTTAAGGTGGGGAGTAATGTGGAGAGGGTAAGAAGACAGGAAGGAATACATACCAGTGGATGAATCACTTCGGATGATTGAACTTAATCTTGCAGTTTCTAGATCAGCTATTAAAAAAAAACCCTGAGAAACCCAAATCTGCTAAAACAACATACTAGCCCTGTATTTAATAAGTATAACACAGTGAGTTATAATAAGAATACCCAGCTCTAAAGAGACGCATTCTTTAAAATATTATTTGTTTACAAACTGATCTGATGATAATAGTGGTCTTAAATTATGGAACTATGGAGCAATTTAGTCGGTTTCAAATAACCAAACCGTGTCCTTTGGCTTTGCCTTAGGCCAAAGACAACAAAATGTACTGCAAGCGTATCTGTAGCCATCAAAGGCTAATTAAAAGCACGTAATTAATTAGGTAAAAATGGCAACCATAAAAATATATTAAGGGTAGTTTAGATTGATGGGACAATGCACCTATTTTAACTCAGTTTCCTGAATAAATTTACTCTGTGATTTATAGCATAAACTCAAGTAGTTTAAGTGTTCTCATTTCCCAGTGTATTTCCTTAAAATAAATTCAAGTAAGAGACCTAAAATTAGCCACAAAAAGATAGATATTTGCACTCTAACTTTCAAAAAATCTCTCACTTTGATGTGATTCAAAATGTCAACACATCCTCATGCCTTCTCGTCCTGTTTTCCCTCCCCATGGAGAAAAGAGATTAATTACCTATGTTTCATGGAGAAAGGGGAGAACTGGGGAAACCTCAGGTCTCCTGGTTTGTTGTTGATTTATAAATAATCGTTTTCTTGCATAGATTTTTATTTTTGAATGAAAAAATATTAAAATTAAATATAACTTGAGGGAGGCACTGTTCGCTCAGTTATTTTAATTAGTGATGTATGGAAAGCAGGAACAACACTTTTTAAAAGAAGAAAACCCCTTTTTACTTCACACGTGAACTTAATGCCTATGAGAGGCAGTGGATTTACAGCTCTGAAGAATTAAAGCCTCTAGCCACAAAACAGGTAAGTAATATATGCCCTGGACCTGTCTTCACCCACTGTCAGCACACTTCCCTGCCACTCTGACCTGGATGGGCAACCTCTCCACAACCATTCAGGCCTTAGCACCTGTGCTGAGCAGAGTCCTTGCAACAGGAAGGCATTTAGGAGTTTCTCGCTAACCAGAGACCACAACTTTCCATGCAGCCACTCAGGGCAGGTCTACACCACCGCTTATGTCGATATAATTTATGTTACTCGGGGGGTGTGAAAAAAACACCCCCCTGAGCGATGCAAATTACAGCAACGTAAGCACTGTCCTCACTGACGTTATGTCAGTGGGAGAACGTCTCCCTCTGACATAACGTCAGTGAGGATAGTGCTTATGTTGCTGTAATTTGACATAGCTTCCACCTTTCGCAGAGGTGGAGTAATTATGCCAACAGGAGAACTCTCTCACGTCGGCATAGAGCGTCTTCACTGGACGCGGCACAGCTGCATCAGAGCAGCTGCACCAACGTTGCGCTTCTAGTGTAGACTAGCCCTCAGACTTTGACTTGAGATAAAATTTTCAGACGTGCCAATGACACATTTTCAAAAGTGCCTAAGTAACTTTAGGAGCCTCTCTCACATTTGAAATGGGACTTCAGTCCTAAGTCGCTGGAACTAGACACTTCAGCTAGTTTGGAGAAAACTGACTATAAATCCCAAGCAGCCATTTCTTAAAGCCTCTCCTCAAAACTACTGTTTCTGGTTAGCAACAGATGGATGAATGCCATGAGATGCTGCACAAGACTACTAGGAGACTAATGGATTCTGCATATTACAAATGTTTTGGGCAATTAGTGGGCTGTTACAGTCTCTCAAGACTAGATATCAGGGAACATTGGATAGAGAGAACCTCCTGATGCAAGGTAGGACTGAAAGGGGATGATGCAATTCACTGGGGCTAGAGGTCCCCCAGCTGTTGATATGTTGAGGGATTTTAAAAAAAAAAACTTCCTTCATTATTGTATTTTTTCCCCATTCTCTGTCCCTCCCCTTCCCATCTCCCCATCCCACAATTAATAGTCATTGCATTAGTGGAAGGGGAGAGTATCTCAATGAGATCCCTTCCTACCTTGCCATTGCAACTGACGAGCATATACAGTGTGCCATGGTTAGGTGCTGCCACTAGTAGCACAGACAGGGATCTATTCTGCTCCCGCTGTGCGGTGAAGCAAAATACTCGCACAGTATGCTGCCTTTGTCACTAGCAAGGAATTCTGGTCTGACTGTCAGGATTTCTGTTGCATTCCTATTCTCTTGCCATGCTGGCCAGGATAGTGCTTAGCCCAACATGTGCAATATCAGTTTGCAATTTGATGCCTCTTCTGTCTTGTTTTTTGATGATCTAGGACTACATTTTTCAAAAGTGACTTCTGGGTGCCCATATTGAAGCACTTCAAATGGTCCTAATTTTCAGAGAGCAGGCACTGACCACTTTCTTAAAATCAGCCTCCCCTACCTGTCTCTAATTGGGTATCCAGAAACACAGGCACCCAAAACTGAAAGTCACGTTTGAAGATTTAGGCCTTACTGTGTATATTCAGAAGAAGAAAAAATCTTTTTCAAATAGTCCTGTTTATGAGTCAGTTTTTTTCGTCCATTCCCCCACCTCCTAGATTTACATTCTTGTTTTTAAAATACTTTTAAAAAAGAAAATCTGATGCTTTGAGGGACTTTGAAGTGTCACCATGGTAAAAAGTTTATAAATGATTAATAACAGAGATATAGTGCCAGATCCTTACCTGCTCTAAATTGGCATAGCTTTATTGACTTCCAGATTTAGGATCTGGCCCTAAAATGGTAACCTTAACTATAGCGTTTGCTGCTGTAACAATTATAATAAAAGATGTTCCTATGAGCAAGTCAGCTCAGTTGAGATTCATTATAATACTTTAGACTTACTCATTTATCTGTTTCTGTCCTTTGTTACTTGTCAATTTTATGCTAATTCACTAGTGGATATGGGTCTGTCTTTCTCTTGATTGCACTAGGGTCTGCCTAATATTAATGTTTAGTACTTTCTCAGCAGATTATAAATCAGATACCTACCAAGGTGCACTGACCTTTTGCATGAGGTGTAGGGTTAAACTTGTTTCCTATCTTCCAGCTATACTCTTGCAGTTGAGCTGTTCATTGTGCTCGAGAGTGACATTGCTGGGAAATGGCTCCTCTATTTATGTACAGGACAGGTACTATACTGTACACGCAACTGCAGTATGAGATAATACATGCTGCCTCACTAATAACTTCAAGATATTCAGTCTCCGTGATGGCTCAGTTCTGGGCCTCTCTGGAATAAAGTGCCAACAGTATGGTTGTTTTATGATGCGAATGTGTGTTAACTGGAGACTGATATCACTTGACTGTCCACTTGAGATTTATCTCACTGAGGACCAGAAGCTAAACTTGAACAAAGACTTGAGCAGTAAAATTCTAATGTTTTCAATTTGTTTAGTTCTTTTGCTATTTTGGATATGAGCTCACAGCACAACATTGCTGCAAAGAAAGACAATTCCACCCTGGGGGTGTATATATAAAGGTATCGCTTGTAAGACAAAGGAAATAATGCCTTGGTTAGATAGCATATTACAATGCAATTTTGGGCCCTTCATTATAGAACAGGACATCAGAAAGTTAGAAGGAGAGTTAATGGACAACTAAAAAAGATTCAGCAACTGAAGAACATGACTAAAGAAGAGAAGCTTACTGAACTTTATATAATCAGGGAGGAAAAGTGACTAAGAGGTCTATGAGAATGCTGCAAGAGTGTATGAGAGGAAGGGAAAATTCTTCTCAGTCATTGTGAGTCATACCATAAGGAATAATAGAAAAATGTTGACAAAGAGATGCCCCCTCCCACCAAAATATTCTATTTTTGTAAAGCACTTTGAGATGTATGGATGAAAAGTGCTATATAGGGTTAGGTGGCATTCTTATATTAGAACTGGCTTTATTTAATATATTTATTAATGGTTGGGGCGAGGGGTAAACATTGTGGTGACATGCAATTAAAGTAGATATGTCAGGACTAGACAAGAACTCCAGGAAGACACCACAAAGCAAAGAGAACGGGCAGCACAATAGATGAAATTCATTGTTGGCAAGTGCCAAGTAATGCATATTGGAAGAAATAATTTGAACTACTCATACACACTACTAGATTCTAAATTAACTATTATCACTCAGAGAAAAAGGCCGGGGCAACTTAAACGTGAACCTCTGCTAAATGCACAGTGGGGCAACCCACCCCCTGCTAAAATAATGTTAGCGTGTATAAGAAATGAGAGAGGAAATAATGTTATGCTTATAAGAAGCACATGGGATCTTTTTCAGGGAAAAAGGCAATACACTGCATTTATTGAAGATACAACAATTAGCATCTTCATTCAATCACATACATACATATACACCCCCTCTGTCCTGCCAGTCGATGTTATAGTTACCAGTCCAGAGTCGGATCAATCTAGTGGCCAGCTAGGTTGATCACGGGTAGGTAGGAGACGGGTTCCGTCGGTCGCGACACGATGCTCTGGGGAATTCTTGGCAAGACGAACCCAAAGTTTCATGGCAAGGCACCCTGTTTATGTAGTGATTAATTTTTTATTGGGACCAATGAGTTTTGCACCATCATACTGTAATTAATTGTTGTTTGATGAGTGCTTGTTTTTTTTATTTTGTTTAATTTTTTTAGGGAGTTACCCCATGCTGGTTTTGATCAGAGCTATCTTGTTCCCATTGATAGGTGCCTGTCTTATTTTTAGAGTTGTTAATTTGCCGGTTTTTGACATTTTAATAGGGGCATGTTGTAATCTTCTGGCGCCCTTGCGTCTGTCCTCGGTTCCTCCCTAGAACATTTGGTCCGGTAATGGCATTTACACTTATTTTCTAACACACCCATTCCTCATTCACGCACAAAATAGAATTGATTTACACAGAGCGTTTGAATAGGAACATCAAATTGCAATGCAAGAGAAAAACAAGCATTGCGTTCTTTTACTTATTTTAAAATGCTAAACCTACAACAAAGTGGTGGCCCTAAAAGGTCTGTTACTGCCTTGAAATCAGCTCAGACACAGATTCCGGCTGATGCATTTCTACCAATGGCCCATTAGGCCATTCCTTTCTGCTATTCAAAAAGGGTGGCTGGCAGGATGTGATTAAATCATACACCAATACATTTAATGCATGCTACATTGTTATTCTTTATTTTTATACTAAATTATATAAAATACAAACATAAAATCCTACTACTACATGTGTGGTACTACTTTACTTGAGTTCAGTATTCAGCTCTGGTCCATGTCAAAAAGATTTAGTAGGAATAAGAGATTCAGAGGTGGGTGACGAAAATGATTAGAGATCTGGATAGACTTTTATATAAGGAGATATTGATAAGAGGACATGGTAGAGGTATACCACATAATGAGTGAGGAAGTGAGGGTCAACCGGATGCTTCTCTATATCCTTTTCCATAATATAAGAACAAGGGGATGGGGGACAAAACTGAAAGCAACCATTTTAAAATAGAGAAAAGAAACCTTTTTACACAAAAACTAATCAACCTGTTGAACTCATTCTCTGACAATACCGAAAGAAGGACAGGAGACATTTAATATGGGTTTAATCAGGCCGCAACTTTATTATTAGATGTCTGGGACTACCTGGCAGATAAAAGTGTACAATGCAGGTAACCCCCTGTTTATTCTGTAATTACCCTGGGGGGCTTCCACCAGCTCCCCCTCTTTTTCCATCCAGGTCCCTCCAGCAAATTCATTGCTGGGACTTTGCCATCCACCCCCACCCCCCCCTTGTAGGAGGGTTAAGAATGGGGGGGGGGGGTTGGCTCCCTGCCATACCAATCATAGGAGTCCCCCCTCCCCATTCGTTTCTTTAACTGACACCTTTTTAAATCCTTTTCCAAGCCATTTATCTGGTCACTCTATAACTTTCCTATGGACATCCACTTAAATAATGAGTTGCGACATATAGCCTATCGCCCTTCATGCCATGCATGAACAAAGCCCTTCCTGAACCTGCTGTGGAGAAGGCAAAAAAATCCCAACTGCACTCAGTCCATTTTTGCAGCCGTTTTCCTTTTCCACTCCCCCCAGCCATAAAGCACTTTTCCCTTCATTCGGCCAGCCAGCCAAATACCCTCTACTTAAAGGTGCAGTCATTGCCACAAAGTGCAGAGGTTAGTAGAGGTAAAAAATAAAGTATTTAGATATTTATGTGGATAATAGGAACATTGGCCTCACAATGTTAAATAGGATGGTTTTGGGGCATAAACCTACCACTTACCTAGAAGATTTTAGAAAGGAACTTTTCCAGTGAGGACATATCATTTTCTTGTATTTCCTTTGGAAGTGACTGGTACCGGTATTATCAGAGACAGGATCCTGGACTAGATGAACCACAGCTCTGATCTTGCATGGCATTATGTGCATGTTCCTGCAGTCTGTGTTGCATTCATTAGTGCCTCCCATGCAGTGGGATCTTTGCTTCCCCCACTGCCTGATACCTGTGGGACTGTTGTCCTGTTTTTTTTCTCCTGCTCTGCCTAAGAAGATGATTTGCGGGATTCAGAATAGAAAATCAGAGTTGGCAAGTAGAGAATAGATAACAGCTTCCGAAAATGCCATTGAATGGGCTTAGACACCCTGCTCCACAAAATGACTGCATAGATTTGTAGGTGTTGGGGTGTGTATATGAACTAGGTTTGTTAGGTGGTAGTGGGTATATTATTAAATTGCTAAATATGAATGCACAAAATGATATTCTTCTGTTTGTATTGCTTTTTCTGCAAGTTTGTTAAAATGTGTATTTGTTCACCAATTTATCTTTGCTAGGTTATTACATATCTCCATACCGTGCTTCTGGCTGCTTGCCTTGTTTATGCCACATAACTGGTTCAGTGAATCAGATCTGTAATAGTCTAACTGGCCAATGTGTTTGCCAAGATGCTTCCATAACTGGACAGAGATGTGACCGCTGCAGAGAACTTTATTTTGGATTTGATTCTGATTCAGGGAGGTAAGTATTTGTTTTGTTCGTTTGTTTTTATCAATACAGTTTATTTCAAATTTCTTCTTCATATTTCCTCACACCAACTAACTTTAAAATCTTTAGTAACAATAAAAGAAAAGGCCATCTATTGAAAACAGTCTTCCACTGAAATTTGTACACATGTCCAGATTTACACAGGACTCATTCCCACACCCACTGAAGTCAATGGAAGTTTTGCCATTGACTTCAGTGGAAGCATAATTAAAACCTTATAAGCTATGTCTCATGTTTATAATGGTTTGAGGATTGTCTTATTACCATTATTCTATATCTGAAATAATCAACTATTCAGGTATTTGGTGTGATACTTGGAAAAAAGTTTACATGCTGTTCTTATCAATAATTAACACTGGGTGGGAAAATTTCAGTGAAAATGAAATTTCACCGGAGAAGGGTGGCAAAAATTTGATGCCCTCATATTTTCTATTAACAATAACAGAAAATGTAAAATTTGCAGAGAATGGATTATTTAATGACAGACTTTTCTATTTCCAAAATCTGTAGTCCTAGAGGAGTGGATTGTCTCTATCAGCACCCTAATTTTGTGGTGCAGGGAAAATTTTGTATCTAATGTAGCCTAGAGCCTTTATGCACACTAAAATAGTGTGAATATACTTCCTTGAATGTCTGAGGTACATCAGTAGGTGATGTATTGTTATTCTGTCTATTGCTCTATCTTTCTCTTGCAGCTTCTTCTTTTGCTTGTCTAATCCCCACAATCTCAATTTCCTTTTTACATGTTGTCCAGTAAGATTTCACAGGCACTCATATTATCACATTTTCCTGCAGACCATATGATTGTAAAGTATTTTGCTACATTTAATATTTATATTTTTTAAAAAATAGACTTAAATGAAAGTGATATGAAATCCCCATACTAGCCTTGAGTGAAAAGGGGAATAAATATATCCTGATCCTAGAACGTGAGTGTATATGTCTTCCTGAGTGTACTTGACATTGTAGATTTTTTCACTTTAACTTTTATATTATTGTTATCATTAGGCAGGGGATTTTTTTAGTGTTGCGGGTCATAGAAGTATCTGTTAATGGCAGTCTTGGAATCTGTAAGAATGGGGATTTTCTGTTTCACTTCCTGTCACTCTTGATGGTAAGGGATAAAAATAATGTAATATTAAGTTTCCTTCTAAATTCATCTTCCTTATTCTTTAGTTTGAAATAGGATTTGACTTTGAGTTCCAAACAGGATGTGAAAAGGTTCACAATTTCTGTCTGGTAAGCAATGCCTTTTGTGCCCAAGAGATGGGCTCAAACTACCAAATTCATATCTGAATCCATATCTCAAAGAACTTAATCTGAGAATGTCTGGATCCCAGAGTTTTGGTTACTACTATCCTAAAGGTGCTTTCTTACAAAACTGGGATTTGAATCCAGACTGAGCTTGAACACTCTACCTCTCTTTTTTTGCTTCCATAAATTGTCAATCAATTATATATTAGGCAAAAGACAATGTACGCTGTTGACTTGTGCCACCAATGGGTAGGCTTCTGTTCTGTTCTCCTCAAGTTCTGATACCACACTCTTCATGGTAATATTTGTGTGCCTTCCTTGCAGTAGTGCATTAAGTAAAGACTCTCGTGTTTGTTTGGCTTCATGTTTGGTAATATCCTCTTGGCTATTTATAATTATACAGTTCTGTTGTTAACGGTGACAGAGTTAGACAATGCCAGTGTCATAGTCATGACCAGGAATATGGATTTAATCTCCCGTTGACGCAAGCATTTGTTATCTGACTTTATTAGAAAACCATTTAAGATTCTTCTTGTTCTTAATCCCACGAGGCCTCCATTTTACCTCACAACAAAGAATTCCAGCGTTGGGCTTTTTGGTAATTTACAGTGGAATGCTTATCCTTTGTGCAGGGGTACTGGAACCAGGAGGGCTAGGGGGTCTAGCACCCCTGTAATGGAAATATTGTGGGGGCTTCACCCAGGGCCGGCTCTAGGCACCAGTGTCCCAAGCATGTGCTTGGGGCGGCACTTTTGAAGGGGTGGCACTCCGGCCCTTTTTTTTTTTTTTTTTTTTTTTGGTGGGGGGGCGGCACCCCGACTTTTTATTTTTTTTGCTTGGGGCAGCAAAAAACCTGGAGCCAGCCCTGGCGTCACCTCTGTGTAAACTCCTGCATGACCCAGGGGGGATGGGTGGGGCAAGGAGTGGAACCCAGTTGGGCTGGAATAGTCTGGGAGCAGGTAGGAAACCCAGGGAGCCCTCTTTCCCAACCTGGAGCTGGTTGGTGCCCCCCCAGCCCCGAATCTCAGTACTTCCCTTCACTCCCCCTCCTATCCCTTCAGACACACTTCTTCACAGGGAGCATCTCCCTGCCCCCCATGTGTAGAGCCAAAGTAATCCGGTTTTATATGGGGAACGCAGAGAAAGGGAAGTACAGAATCCCATACCAAGCTTAGATCCAGGCAACAGAACATCTACAGAAAGTCTGTGGCTGCTGCTGTGCACCCAGCTGTACTTGAGGCCAGTAGACCAAAAGAGTTTGTGGACCTATCAGCTATGCCTGGGACTCCCATAATCCCTGAACAGGCCTATGGAGAGAGCCACCATAGAGCTTGGCTTTGTAGTGTCTGGGAGATCTGGATCCTCCTGTGTAGTAGATCCATGATGGTTCCACTATATGTTGGGTAATGTTCCTTCTCCTCTTCAGGAGGGTTTCTCTATTAAAAGTGATCATCTGTAGCCATATTTGCCTATCTGTTTTCATTCAGTTTTTGCAAATTTTAAGACTTTTTAAAAAGGAGCGATTTGCCATTTTTTTTGCAAATTCCACACTGATTTAAGCATTCTCTGTCCCTTTCTAGAAATTTTGAGATTACTAAACCAATCAAGCAAAGAATACTAGCCGCCCATAATCTAAATGCCAGAGCTGTGTTGACTTCTGCCATTTTTCTGTTGCTATTCTGTGATATGCAGAGACAGAGTCATGAGGCCTTAAAATTCCACCAACCTTGCAGGAACATGGAGTATTATTCAGTGGAATTCAGCTTGCAAAGTAGAAAATTCCCTGCAGGGTAGGAGGAATTTTAGACTCCAGGATTTTACAGTGATTCAAACAGAACCCCTAATGGTCATGAACATTGGTGGAGATTAGATAAGCCTTACTTCTGTATTGTTTACTATAATGAACTGGTCAATGAACATTACAAATTGTTTATCTATATATATATCTCTTGACAGATTACTGTTTATGAAATCCACTTAGCAAGTGAGGTTTTCCCATAAGGATGAAAAATTAAGATTTTAAACAGATTGCTGGAGAGGCTCTAACTGCACCTAGAGAGTCAATGTAATAAAGGTTTCTCTATATTAATATTACAAAAACCATTTATCTTTGCAAAATCAATATTGCAATTCATCTTGGCTTGGTATTTCTCTTTCCATGTTTTAAGTCTTTTTTCTTTGATTATGTGTAATTCTGTTTTAATAAATGTGAAATATGTTTGATTTAAAATGTCTTGGGAAGGTAGCGTTTAAAAAATAACATAAGCTTCTAATTTATTTTATTAACAGTCCTCCAGAATGTTGAAAATATTGCTTGTGTGGCTGGAAAGTTTCAAGGAATGTTTGTTTATTTACCATAAAAGTCCTTAGTGGCATAAAAATATTGACTTCACAAATGTACAGTAAACTTTTAAAATAATAAAATGTATTGATTTCACTATTTAGAATACTAATGAAGACTCTGATCCTGGAAATAACCGTGAGTAGTCCCACTGAAGTCAATAGGATAACTCATACATTAGTGTTTACAGGATCGGGGCCTACGTTAATAAAGTTAAATAGATATTTCTATATGTTGGCTAGAAGACAAAATAAGTACTTCAGGCAAAAAACAAAACAAACACACCCACCCAGACAACTGTAAGGGACTGTAAATGTACTGTATCTAAAACTAATTTGATTGTTTCATGAGTGAATGATAATGAAAACTGAAATACTCAGGGGACCCTTATTCATGAGAGGTCCAGTACTATACAATAGTATAGTACTAAGAGAAGTCTCTCATTATTTATGTACTGAGACACTTGCATTAAAACGCCCCACAAACTATACACACTAAATAGCAGCATGTAATGAAATTATGAAATAATAAAATAGAATTATTTTCCTATCAATACACTATCTTCTTTTTTATCTCTAACTAAACCATGACATTTAAATAGTCTAAACAAAACCTCTATTTGAAGGGGGATTTGGATGCACTGTCTACAGATGAAAGGACTTAATACAGTTGTTTGAAAAAATTGCCCTTTTCTCTTGACTATAAAAGAGAGCAAACTACAGTATAGTGGCTTCCAGGAGAGAATGTATTTTATTTATTCCCAAAGGGATATTAGTCCATAAAACAAATTTGCAGCTTATTTTGCAGCTTTAGCTTTTATCAGCCTTTTTAAGGGTGTTGAATGATTACTCAGGAGATCACACAGCAAGAGTTGCAGTGGAGTAAAAGAACTCTAACAAACAGAGCTCTGCGATGGGCAAAAAAATGTATGTGAATAGTTCTCTTAAACTTGTTTAAAAATCTGTCACATTTAATGTCTATTTCACTGATTATTGACCTGGATCTTAGTACTCCAATGTGAAAAAAGTTGTTTTTTTCTCCTTTGCTTTTATCATCCTAAAGTGTAGATGAACTCAGCATTATTTGACCTACAGGTGTGTCTGAGAGAGGGAATAAAGAAAAGAGAAGTGGAAATACGGGATTGAATCTTGAATAGGATGCATTCACTTTATATTGCACAACCAGTGAGATCTGGCCACAGAGCCAGTGTAACCAGTCTGGGGAAGATCAGTTTAAGTGTAGGAAACCTTCCCAGGCTAGCACAGGTGTCCTACCAGAACAAAGGAAACATAACTGAATCTTCCATATAGCCTTCAAGTCCCTGACTGTTATTTAATTGTCCTCTTGCAACTGTTGGCACCTGGTGTAATTTAGAGCTGCCTTCAGGCTGCTCTCATTTATGCCAGAGGACAGGACCGTTGCACAGCCAGTTCAGGTTTAGGTGAGTGCAAACTGAGTTTCACAATACTTTTGTGGCTCCCCTTCCTGATTTGTACTGTATGGTAATGAATTGCAGCCAGGGATTTGGCCCATGGTTTTTTAAACATTTGTTCCGTCCATTGAGGTACAAATGTGAGATTAGAAAATTAGAGCAGAAAAGTTAATTGTGGTTTATTTGCTATTATTAAACTCTACACTGAGGTGGTGGCATGACTCAGAGAATTGGCAATGTGTTGTAAGTTGTTCACTCAAAGACAAACCATTGTCTGTTACGTGGATAAGTCCATTATTGAGAATCACAGACCTTATATTTTTAACTGATTTTGGTAGTGATGATATAATTTGGTGCCACTGGGGAAAAATATATATATCAATTGCAAAAACCCTTGTTTAACAGGGTTTTCAAATATATACTGTGGAGAGGAGCAAATTCCATTTTTAATTATAGTCCTTGAGCCAGCATATAGATTTAGGATCAAATATCTCAATTCACTGAGGATATTTCACTGATGCCAATGAGAGGTTTGCACAAAGGATGAAGGTTAGCATGTGGACCTTTGTGTAGTAGTTAAACTTTTAATTATTATAATTTATTTAAGTACCTTATTGTCAATTTCAATATCACATAGTGGGGGAAATGTGCTCCCCATTATGACCAGTGGTATTTCTGACCTTTCTCTTCCTACTCTATCCTCCTTTCTGTTTTTCTCCTTCTTCCCAGTCTTTGGATCTTTCCTCTTTTATTTATTTTGCATTTGCATCCCTATCTATTGCCTCTGTGGGCAAGAAACTTTTTTCTTTGATGAAAGCTTAGAATCTTCAGGATCTGAATAAATCCTGAAGATCTCTCTCATACATAAAGCAGGCCAGATAAATATTTTGACTTCAGTTGCACTATTTTTGTGAGTAAGGAATATTTTGTGTGAATAAGGGTTGTAGGATTGGACCAATAATAGGTTTATTAATCAGTACTGTGATGCATGCACTCTGTGTACGGATCAATTCTATATTAACACATTTTTAAATCTAAACCATTTTCTTTATCCAATTTAGCATAAATTTCATCTAATGCTCAGATTTCAAATGCTTATTTTGAGTATTTATTAAAACAGTATGAAATAGATAACTTGCAAATTTTTAAGCTGCATTTTATTTTTTTAAATAGATCCAAGTATTTACATTTTTTACTGCACCTCTGTCCACTAAGCTGTTTAATTATAATTCTGAATTATGTAAGACAAAAGAAGCCACTAAATAAAACCCTACTGTGTCTAACTGAAGTGTTAATGTGCTTTGATTACTTTTTCGGTTTGTTTTTGTTTATAGATGTCAGCATTGTAATTGTCATCCTTCAGGAGTCATTAATGGGACTTGTCATCCTGTTACTGGACAATGTGTTTGTAAACAATTTGTAACTGGCTTGAAATGTGACAACTGTGTTCCCAATGCTAGTAATTTGGACGTCCACAACCTATTTGGCTGCAGTAAAAGTAAGTGGATGTTGGTCTTAAAAGCATGTCTTTCAAATGAATGGCTTTTAGTGTTAAATTAGTTCTGTAATACTAAAAGTGGATTTTTTTTTTCATATTTCTTCTTTTTTATAGCTATCTTAGGAGATCCTTCTGGAAAGATTTAGGTAGAGTACTTCATAGAGCTTTGTGCCACACACAGAGCTTGAACTCAAGTTGCTGAGCACCCTCAGCCCCCATTGGCTTCAGGATCAGGCTCATAGTGAAACTTTGCTTGCCACCTCATGTGGCCTCCATCCATCACTGTGGGAGACAATGTAACATAACATATGACAGGTCATCATAAACTGACTTGCGTAGAGTGGGCTAAAGCTATGTTGACAATTGAGAGATATTGAAAAGAAACACGTTGCTACTGAGCACCTGCATTGCGGCAACTGCAATGAGTCTGAAGTACAGGGATGGCAAGGCATCCGCCTTTATGTGATTCCGAATTAGTCAAAATGATACTTTCAAATTTTGTTTTTCTGTGGCTTATCTCTATGCTGGCCTCGGTGCTTGGCTATAGTAACAATTGCATTATTGATACCAATGGTCAAGCTGCATCACTGGGAAATTTTAAGAAAAAAGTCTAGTGTAGAAAAGGATTAAAATTTTCAAAAACTCTTAAGTGATTTAGGCTCTTAAAACACTTTTGAAAATGGGGACTTAGACACCTAAGTGTCAATGAAAATCAGTAGGACTTATGGTCATCGCTGATCATTTTTTATCACATGGCTATGTGTTTTGGGACGTTGCTTCTGCAATGTATCTGTTTATCTAGTTTGTCTAGGCCAGGGGTCGGCAACCTACGGCACGCATGCCAAACACGAGCCGATTTTGAGTGGCACGCTGCCTGCCCGGTGAGAGGAGGAGGAGGAGGGGCGGAGGGGCTGGAAAGCGCAACGCTGGGGGAAGAAGCGGGGGAGGAGGGAAACTTGGCTGCGGCAGGACCAAGCTTCTGCCTCCTGTCCCGGCAGGGGAGAGCGGTGGTGGGGGGGGGGTCCCCGCCCCCCCCCCCCATTCAGCCCCCCCGCCCACTGCTCTCCCCTACGGGGGCAGGAGGCAGAAGCTTGGTCCCACGGCAGCCAATCTTCCCCCCTCCCCCGCTTCTTCCCACAGCATGGTGCATTCCGGCCCCTCCTCCTCCCCCTCCCTCTCCCTGCCGGCGATGGCCCTTGCAATGGGGAGGGGGAGTGGAGCAGAGCCGAGCGGCAGCGTGCTCACTGCTCCGTAGAGCAGGCAGAGAGAGGTAGGGACGGAGCCTGGGAGACGGGGGTGGAACAGGGCATATCCCTTCCAGCCCCCTGCCATGAGCCGCTCAGGGCAGGAGGCTGGGAGCACCCCCACGAGCCAAGCACCCCAGCCTTCTGCCCTGCACCCCCACACACCCCAGCCCTCTGCCCTGACCTCGAGTCGCCCCCAACACCCAGCCTTTTGCCCTGCACCTCCACACACACCCCAGCCCTCTGCCCTGACCTCGAGTCCCCCCCAACACCCAGCCTTCTGCCCTACACCCCCACACCCACCAGCCTTCTGCCCTGACCCCTGAATCCCCCCACACCCCCAGACTTCTGCCCTGAACCCCCCACATCCCCACTGCCCTCTGCCCTGAACTCTGACCCCCCCACACTCACCCAGCCTTCCGCCCTGCACCCTCTGCCCTGACCCCTGAACACCCCCCCAGGTCTGGGGTCCCGGCTGCCAGCCCCTTGCCAGTCGGCGTCCCAGCCACAGGCCCTGCTCAGTCCGCTGCAGGCCTAGGTGAACAGAACCCCAGGCTGGAAGCGGGCTGAGCAGGCTGGCGGCGTAAGATCAGCATTTTAATTTAATTTTAAATGAAGCTTCTTAAACATTTTGAAAACCTTGTTTACTTTACATACAACAATAGTTTAGTTATATAATATAGACTTAGAGAGAGACACCTTCTAAAAAACGTTAACATGTATTACCGGCACGTGAAACCTTAAATTAAAGTGAATAAATGAAGACTCGGCACACCACTTCTGAAAGGTTGCCTACCCCTGGTCTAGGCATTTACATCATGTTCAACACCATTGTATCTGTGTGGTAGATTGTGTGTGTGTATGCTCACATGCAAAGGGCACTCACAAACACACAAAACTTTCACTTTGTTCGCAGTTTGCGTTTGGGTCCTATATCAAGTTAAGTTTAAACAGTATACCATTGAAGTACATATACAGTACTATAAATAGGCCTGAACCAGAAAGATGTATTCATTTCCAGACATGAATTTCTCAAATTTGAAAGTATTCAGATTCAGAGTTTTGGTTTAGACCCATCTCTAGAACACATTGTCCTGATAGTTTGATTTGGCTTTGGAATTTCACTTTCAAGCGTATAGTGCTTCATTTGAATTTATAATAATAATACTTAGCATTTTTATGGTGCTTTTCATCTTTAACTGATCAACTAATTTATATCACTGTATACATTTTATAAAGGTCAATGGCAATTCTGCTATAAAATGTTAAATGACATAGATTAATATAGATTTCAATTAGAAAAAGTGGGAAAACTTGTACAGCATTCTGAATAGTAACTGGAGTCTTTTTCTGGACATAAATTATGTAGGAGTTGTAATCTTCTCCTTTCAGGTATTCTTGTAGTTTCTAATTGTTGTCACCAGTTTTGGGGCTTTGCCCTTCTAGATTAATGCCTAGCCTTGTAAATGCTATTCTCTATCTGCCCAGTCTTGTGCAAATCTAGGGATCTGTGGCAAGACAATGAATTCACACTCATTAATCAGAACCATATAAAAATGATGTGTCCAGATGTTCAGTACTTCCAGTGCAATGAATGTTCCAAAATGGAAATTCTGTATTTTAAGTGGTACATCATTTGTGATTACTCCTCATTGTAATTTAGCATTTTACTGACAGCTATCATATTAGTAAGTGCACCACCCACATAAATCTGTGTAAGCAGAAACAAATGTAAGGCACTATCAGTGTCCAAATAACATTCTACTGGAGGGAAACTTATTTTGGGAGGATGAACAACAACAGAAAGGCAAGTTCCTTCCCCCAAAGAGCTTATAGTCTAACTATAACACAGGCTACAACAAATAAGAGTAACAAACCAGGGCAAGAGAGAATCCAGGTTAACCTAATAAATTCATGTGGTTACTCAGTTGGACAGTGCATGTCTTGATAGGTTAACAATATAGCTATATTGTGGGGGAAACTTTCAAAGGTGCCTGAACGATTTGGGAGTGCAAGTTCTTTTGACTTTCAATTGGCCTCCTGCTCCTAAACTCTTTAGGTGCTCTTGACAATCTCTCCCTCTAATCCTTGTTGAACCTAAAAGCAAGAATAGTACCAAGGATACCTCTTCCAAGAAAAAGATGCAGATTTTTGCAATTTCCACACCCCTGAGGAACACTAACAATATGTTCTGTGTTATTTCTGCATTTAGCTCATGTTTTAGTTATGTGTTGAAGACTCTTGTGCTATTCATGGTGCCATCGTTCTTCACAAGTCTTATTTGTGGAAGTCGAGTCCTCATATTAAAAAAAAAAAAAAAACTGGTTTGGCGAAGCAGATCTCTCTCTCTCTCTCTCTCTCCAATATATATATATATATATTGGAGAGAGAGAGAATTGGACATATTCAGCAAACTGCTATATATGATGTTAACACAACTAGAGGCCAAAGGTCCATGAAACGCCACAAGTTTTGAATTGTGATGTGGTTCCCACAGTGTGCTCTTTGGCCCACAGAATAGGGAAGATGTTTAACCTCCACACCCAGGATGGTCCTAGATTCATGGAGCTTTCCTTATAGATATTAGTTCCCAAAGATGGCTAGGTCCAGAAAAGTGGCAAACACATTCCCCCTCTGTTCTGGAAAGCCGGGGGAGGGGTAGTGCCTACTTAGGAGATTGGCCTTGTGTTCTGGTTTATACATTATATCTATTTTATCAAAAATGTTAATAAAAATTCATTTAAGAATATTTTACTGAGCAACAACAACACCACCAGCACTCAGAAAGGACTGTGGTCATTCATTTGGATCACAGAAAGAAAACAGAGGGAATTTTGCTCTTTGATAATAGACCAAGACCTAAATATGCCTTGCACTGAGATAACTGGCTATCCTCTAATAAACTGTAATCTGATAATTTACTTGTGCTGTAAAGACGATGGTAACTAGAACATACTGGGCCTTGTCTTGCACCCCTCAGGCCTCTGTTTGTTGATACTAGTGTAATTCAGGGGGTAAATCCATTGAAATGTATGTAGTTAATATTGGTGTAAAACAGAATCAAGCCCAATGACATCAGGATTGGTCTCTTGCAGCCTTATGATACACAGAGGTAAGATTTTTCTCTTCTGCTTTGTTAGATGAAGTTATGTGGCCATTGAGATAAGTTGAATGGAAATGAACCTTCTGAAAATGCAACAGATGATGGCAAACTTTAAATTAATAATGTACACAGAGAAATACGATCCATCTTTTGATAATTTCCTAAAAACAAAAGAAACAAAGAAAAAGGAGCTTTTAAAAAACTGTGGTAATACTGATGTTTCACTTCTGTGGTTTTTCTAAATGTATTTAGGCTGCTGCTTTGATGTACAAATTTTGTTTTATGTAGTTAGATAAAAAGCTTTGTGGCAGAGTAGATCTGATGCATCAGCTTTGTTTATTAATGTTCTATTGACCATATGTCCACATGACAGTTTTTTGTGTCAGAATAACCTTTATCCTAAAGATTTCACTTCTATTTATTTGTATGTTTATTGATGAGCTTGGTTTTAAAAATGTTCTTTTTAAAAAAATTGTCCTTTAGCTCCATCCCAGCAACCTCCACCCAGAGGAGAAATTCTAAATTCTTCTGTTATCTATCTTTCATGGAACCCACCTGATTCTCCAAATTCCAACTGGCTTACTTACGGACTATATAGAGATGAGACTGAAATTTATACAACGGAAGACCACTATCCTTATAGTGAGTGTTAATGAAGACAGCAGTGTTTGACATATATATATAAAAATATAAATTATATTTTTTCCAATTGTTATCTCAGGTTCCTGTCATTTGTTCTATAAGGTTTTTCAGTATTCAGTTTTTCCTACTAGTTGGCTAAGGTTCCACACTGCTCGATTTCTTTGGAAAGAAACATCTGATTAAATTTTCAAAAATGATTACTGAATTTGAGTGCCTCAGTTGTTCAGTGTCTAATCTGAGATCTGTTAAAAATGCTTGAGCCGTATAGTCCCTCATTATTTTTAATTCTGATATATTATGTTTAAGTACTTATCATACTTGGTTACATTGTGTACCTTACATGTAAACACTATGTAATACTGCTGAACACAGTCAATCAAAGATGAAAGTATGTTATGCATATATAAGGGATTCGATGAATATGGTGAGAGAAATAGAAATGACCGCAAAGTTGAGGAATCATATGATAGATTTTCATTTGCTTCATTTCCTAGCAAAAAATGAAAACTTAGAATTTAAGTTGAATCCTTTCACAAGTAAAGTTCAATATATTTTGTTCATGTTCATATTATCATACCATGTAATCTGTTTAAGAACAGAGTGCAAGATGAAGACGCTATTTCATGATTCCACTGATATATTTAAGAAGCTGCTTTAAAAACCCTAAATATTCACTACTTGGATAATCAGACATTGATATACTCCTATTTAACAAAACCATTATTTTCTATTTGGTTAAAAAAATTACATTGCTGACATTTCCTGGCACTTACTCTAATTAATGATGTGAAAATCACCTTCATGGCATTTCAACAGTAAGAACAATTTGTTAATGCTGTCAGAAATTTGTATTCTAATAATATTCTGATGTTTATTACTTTATTCTTAGAGTGTGTGTGTTGGGGCAGGGGGGTGGGGGAGTGGGGCATCTATCGTACACACAGGAAATGCCACTTACGTGCAACTGAATGAATACAGATCTTATTACTAAATGAGAGTTTGAAATTACAGTTGTGGAAGCATTGAACTTTTCAAGGAAAATTAACAATAGTCTTCTAACTTGACCTGATGATTTGGCTGATAGGATTACAGAGTACCTCATTAGAGTGATTTTTTTTTAAGCCCTCTGCTAGCTTTGCTGTTGGAAGCGGGAACACTCAGGATATCGCAATCTCCATCTTAAAGATAAAACAGAATGCTTGCTATAAAATATGGAATAATACCCAAATCTATTTTAAGATTCCAAATCATAGTTCATTGGACTTGACCATGTAGAAATATAAAGGGGAAGGGAAAGACTCTCTGTTTTTTTTTCCCTTCCAGACAAAATGAAAACAGGAAACTAGCATCATCAGGATGCAGATGAAAATCCTGTTCTTGGGCCTTGACTTTTCTCTTTCCCCTTTCTCCCACTCCTCTGATACCCTGGGGTTGGGAAGACTACTTGATAACAGAATATTTTAAATTTTTAATACTTGATCTTTTCCTATGTGGATACTGTGGCCTTTCAAAACTTGCATAAAAAGCAACAAATTCAAGACAGGTTTCTAGGTGTTTGACATGTGGAACATAATTTTCTTCTTATGTTTGTTCTAGGTACTCAGAGCTTCAGTGACACCACTTTGTTCCCTTATACCTTCTATTCCTATTACCTCAAGGTCAGCAATGTTCATGGTTCTACAAGGAGTGCAGCAGTGATGTACAGAACAAAATCAGGGACACCTAAAGGAAACCTACATTTAAATATAATTTTTCCTGTTGGCCCACACACCATTTCCTTTAATTGGACAACCCCATCAAACGATTCTGGGCCTATAGAAAAATACGTTTTGACGTGTACTTATTCAGTTGATCTTCAGCCTTGTGGCCAATATGAAGGTTTAGAAACCTCTACAATTATTCGGAATCTGGTTCCATTTACAAAGTACATTTTTGGTGTTCAAGCATGTACCAGTGGAGGCTGTTTGCAGAGCCTGCCATTGACCATAATTACTGCACAGGCCCCTCCGGAGGGGCAACATTTTCCTGTGATACAAAACATCAGCGCTACAGAGCTCACCCTAAAATGGTCTCCACCTACAAAACCAAATGGTAAGTCTTAATACGCTTAGTTTCTTAAACTGAGATTCAACAATGAAAAAGCAGTATTTTATCTAAATCTGTTCATGTTTTCCAGGTCAGTGGGAGACAAGCATTGGACAAAAATATCAGTTCAACTATCTCTTAATATTATTGGTTGTCTGATAGTATTGTGTAGTCTCTTAGAGTCAAGTCTTGATTCCATTGGAGTGCAAAATTCCAAGTGACTGCAATGGGACCAGGATTTACCACTTAGTGACATCTGCCTCAACAAGAATGATATTTACAATTAAAGGTTTACTGTAAAATCCATTTTTTCTCACCAATTAGTTCACACAGATGCAGTGACCATTGCTGTATCTACTAGATCAGTAAGTAAAAGGATTATCAAACTAAGAGAATTAACAGGGAGAATCTGTTTTTTAAACCATGAGGCATATATGGCAGCTCATGCTGTTATTAAGCTAGCTTTGTTACAGATTTGATAATGTCCAAGTGTTATGGGCCTATCTTGGTTTTAGTTTTTGTACGTGGAAGCACCAACTTTTGTAAGGAAGACACTGTGAAGCACTCCATTCTGCTGTTTACTATTTTATCTTGCAGTCTATGGGCCAAATTTTTGTGGGACTCTTGTAAATCACACTGGTAACGTTTGCATGGCAAACCTCACAGATACGTCAGGAAAGAGCATTTGTGTACACAAAAGTGGTGCACAGGTCTCAGTTCCCACTTTCTGTGAGGACGTTTTCTTCCTAATTTAGCGAGAGTCAGGAAATTAGCCTACACCAGAATGTTTCTGTATGCTTAGGGCTGCACTTATTATGACTACAGGCACTGGAGTGTTAGCTCGTGTCAATACTAGCCTCTTGATCCTTACAGTATATGCTTCATAGTTATATTTGGTGGTTGCCACTCCCTGATCTGTAAGCCTATGATAGTTGATGCAATCAATGTCAGCTCCTGGATTCCATTCTCACTTCTCCCAGCAACTGCTGATGGAAGAAGCACTTCATTTTGTTTGTCAGAAAACTCAGTGTTAGAGCAATTGAGTGGTAAGACCCCCTGTCTGGTATAGTGTAAATAGGTCACTACTTTTTGGCCCACAGAGGCTGCTGTTGACTGTGCCTCTGGTAGAGCACAGCAATATTAGGGGCATGCATAGCAGGAACAACTCTTCAATGCTAATATCATATGCTTAGTATTTTCTAAAATTCAAAAGTATTTTATATTGGGGAAGGTAATAATTCCTATGTATGCATTTTTTTATTTAACTTAATATTAGATAGTGTGACTTTTCTCTAAGAATGACACAGAAAATAACAAGGTCCCAATGTAATTTAATTATCTTAGTTTAAAATTACCATCACTTACATGTACTTGCAAGACTAGGCAGCTGTGAACAATGCTATTTCATTTCCTTTGATGCCTGGTCAGATCTTTCTGTCTGTCAAAAAGACAAAGGGACAAGTTGTCGTCCTGTCCTCCCCCCCCCCCCCCCCCCCCCCCCGCCTCTACGACCACCAATTATAGTTATTCAGTTCCTTGAAGTCCATAAATTTGGCTCCAGATATTTATCCACTGTGATGCTTATTAGCGTCTGGCTGTGCTGATGTTCCTGGTCTCTCAGATGTCTCCCCTTAAATATTTACATTTTTTTGCTCTCTCAGGCCTCAGTTCAGGAAGGTGCTTAAGTACATGCCTAATTTGAAGCATATGAGGTTAATGGGCCTACTCGTGCGCTCAAAATTAGGTATGCACTTAAGTAATGTGCTGTACCTAAGTCCAACTGCTGTTTCCTGACCACTGAGATCTTGCCACTTAGTTATAGATTCCCTTTGACGGAAAATTGGCAAAAAACAGTATCCCATCACACCTTATTTTAAAGACACTGCCCATTGCTGCCACTTAAATAATGATCTGCCCATTGCACAAACACTTGTTCCTTTGAAAATACTATTATGCTGTACTACTAGAGTATCCATGTAGGAACTCTCTAGAACAATCTTTTATCTGTCCTTAGAGAAAAAGCATAACAAATCAAATTATAATAGTCCAACCTAAGATTTTTTTCAAGTGCAAAAATTATGTGTTTAATCAAATAACAACCACAACAAAAGTTGTGATAGAATAACAACAAATTAGGGGGAAAAATATCCCTAGCTAAGTGAACTTTTATAGCAATTAAAATTACACCTTTCCGTGCATTATATTTTCTATGGGCTCTATTGCTAGATTAATAGTTTTTAAAATATTTTTATTGATATTTTAATTGGATGCTGAATAACAATTTGCAATAAATTACTATTGTTTACTCACTGTTATTTCTAGGTATAATCATAAGGTATGAAATCTATATGAGAGGAGCATTACGATCAGATGGAAATCGTATTCCTCCTGAAAGTCGCATCTTCCAAAGCAGTGGATGGCTCAGTCCTCAGCCAATTATGGAGTCTGCTAATGAAAACGCATTAATGCCACCTCAGACCAGCACCACAATTACTGATCTTGAGCCATTCACAGAGTATGAGTTTTGTGTTTTAGCCGTAAACATGGCTGGTAGCATATTTTCAGACTGGATATCAGGAAGAACTGGAGAAGGAGGTAAGTATTAGTTCATATCAACTAATTTTTAAAAACCTAGGGCTTGTCTACACTACCGCGGTAGTTCGACGGCTGGCAATCGAACTTCCGGGTTCGATTTATCGCGTCTGGTCTGGACGCGATAATTCGAACCAGGAAGTGCTCGCCGTCGACTGCGGTACTCCACCTCAGCGAGAGGAGTACCGCGGAGTCGACGGGGGAGCCTGCCTGCCGCGTGTGGACCGCGTCTGAACCGCGGTAAATTCGAACTAAGGTATGTCGACTTCAGCTACGTTATTCACGTAGCTGAAGTTGCGTACCTTAGATCGAATTGGGGTGTTAGTGTAGACCAGGCCCTAGAGTGTATTTAAAAGAGAGAGCTTTTATGTTAAGTAAATAGCCATATAGGGCCAAATTCTGCTTATCTTATCTATCCAAAACTCACTTAAATTTGCTCGAAATTTAGCATGAGTAAAATGATGATGGAAGAAAAAAATCACAATCACACTGCAACAAACATCTAAGACCATATGATAACCAAACTTAAGAGTAATAAGATTTTGTTGTTTGAATTTTATGTAGTTTCCCCCATCATTGTGTATACCTTCTTCATGCAAACCCTCATTAACTCACTTTTTTTCCTGAAAACCTGGGAGAATAGGTAGGGCTTGAGGTGAGCCTTGAAGGTCAACAAACTCAGACTCTGTAGCACTTGCAATTTTGGGGGAAGAAATAAATGTGGATGCAATGAATATCATTTAAGTCCTTATTCAGGAAAGATGCTTAAGCATGAGCCTAACTTTAAATACATGCTTAAATGACCGTATATACTCGTTCATAAGCCGCATTATTTTAGTAAAAATAGGAAGCACCAGAGAAGGGGGTCGGCTTATGAATGGGTATAGAGAGGGAGAGGTAGGACACAGCCCCTCCCCCCAACAGAGGGAGCAAGGAGAGGCAGCAGAGCCAGAAGGGAAGAGGCGGGGCCAGAGTCTCTCCGCTTCTGGCCACGCTGCTCTCCCCCCAGCCTCCGAAGCAGCTGCTGCTCCGGGGCTGGCAGGCTGCAGCCGTGCCACTTGGCCCCACCCCCCAGAGCAGGCTGTGGCAACGCTGCCTGGCCCGCTGGAGCACATTGCTGCCGTGCCGCCCAGCCCAGCCTGCTGGAACACGCTGCGGCCGCGCTGCCTGGTCTGGCCCGCCGGAGCAGGCTGCAGCCGCGCTGCCCAGCCTGCCGGAGCAGCTCCAGCCATGCCAGAGACATCCTCCCCAGATAAGGTGGGAAGGGATGGGATGGGGAGAGTGTGGGGGTCCCGGGCTAGGGGTGGGGTCATGTGGGGGGTGGTCCCAGGGGTTACTCCCCTGACTCCCAATTTCTCCCCCCTAAAAAAATTTCCACACCAGTTGCTGTCTCAGCCCGTCAGGGTAAGCAGTTGGTGCGCCGAGACATTTTGTTTACTTAGGTTTACCTCCGTGCCTGCAGACGTTCGCAGTAAACAAACCATCTCTGCCCACTAGCAACTTATCCTGATGGCCCAGGAGCCAAAGTTTGCTGACCCCTGAATTATGGGGTCGGCTTATGAATGGGTTATAAAATGTTTCCGTTTTTACTTATCCATCTTGGCGGGGTTGGCTTATAAATGAACTGGCTTATGATCGAGTATCAGGGCCTTAGTTTGCATTTACAGCTAGGTTTTTCAAAAAGGTTCAGGTCCATATTTTCAAGAACTCAGCACTCACAAGTGGGGCTGGATTTTTAAAAGAGCTCTGCTCTCATGCACTAAATAAGGGCCAGGCACCTAAGTAGGGACCAGATTTTCAAAAGTACTCTGCACGCAACAGCTGGCGTTGTGACACCTATGGCCAGATTTTCAAAAGAGTTCAGTATTCAACATACTGAGCTCTTCTGATAATAAGGCTACTTATTTTCTTGCCTAAATTGGAGCTGAGCTCTCCTGACAATTCTGGCTTTTCCTATCTGATAGAGCTCAGATTTCAGTGGTTAAATGTCTCATCAATATCAGTAAGGCTACGATTTAGTCACAGGTATTTTTAGTAAGTCATAGACTGGTCACGGGCAATAAACAAAAATTCACAGCCCATGACCTGCCCGTGACTTATACCTGTGATTAAATCTTGGGGTGGGGCGCTGGGGAAGCAGAACGGGGCCGCTGCTCGGGGGGCATGCACCCAGGACCAGAGATGCCAGCTGCCGGGGACCATGGCTGCTCTGGCCAGCTGGGGACGGCTGCCCAGGGCCGCTAGAGCAGCGGCTAGTGTGGCTGTCCCCGGGGGCTATCTGAGCAGTTGACCCCAGAGCCAGCTGCTTGGGAGGCCCTGTGGTCAGCCACACTGGCCCCTGCAGAAGTCACGGAGGTTGCAGAAAGTCACGGAAACTGTGATTTCCGTGACTTCCATGACAGACGTGGAGCCCTACTCATTAGTGGTGCTCGCATTTGCTGGTGCCTCCAAAATCATGTCCTCAGTTATTTGCTTCCACAAAATGGGAGGCTAGGCTAAAACCCCTTTTAGAATTTGTCTTTCTGCTTGTCAGTTTTTAAAAAGCATATATCACAAAAGTGTCAAATTTTCTCTTGGGAAGAGGTCCATTAGTACAGTGTTTGTACATAAGAGGCACTCTGATTTGGGATTCTATCATTACAAAGTGAGAAGGTGGGGCTTTTACTACAGTGCAGACTGCTTTTAAAGGTTTTATTATCCAAGACAGGAGCATTCCTCTATAAGAAGTGAGAGATGTGTTAATTTCAAACCTGCCCAGCAAACAAAATTGCTTTTAAGGTGATTAAGCATTGAACAATCATTGCTTTTATCAGGTTTTTTCCAGATCACATGAAAATTTTGCATCTGAGAGCTTTTCATCTATGTACTTCCTACCTATATCTGCCAAAAAAGGTGTTTAGTAGCTAAGTGGTGGTTAGTACCTCTTTAAAAACATGTGCATTATAAAATCAAGGTTTTATTTTGCATAGGTGATTTTTTTTGCCTTTTTATATAATATTTAAAACAATATAAAATTCAATTTCAACCTGAAAATTAATTTTTTACAAGGTGCTTATTAAGGAATTGGATGCGAAAAGACATTTTATAGTCTATAACAGATGGCATTTTACAAATACAGTAAGAAAACTTGCATGACACATGTTGTTCATTTATTTTATGGTAAATTAGCACATTTGTTTTTAGCTCCTGTATTCATGCCATCTCCATCAGTATTCCCTCTTTCACCGTATTCTCTCAATGTATCTTGGGAAAAGCCACAAGATAATGTAGCAAGAGGAGAGGTGATGGGATACAGCATCAACGTAATTACCACACAAAACATGTTGCCAGTATTTTCCCAGGTATTGTTGTTATCAATCTGTTTTCATTGTTTGCTAATATATGGATGTTATACAGAAGAAAAAAAATAGTATCAGCCTTGGTGTCTTGGCAAAATTTTTATTTGCCTATTTACTGTACATTCTGCTTACCTAATTTCCTCACCCAGCAGTTTATGGCATGCTTTTCATTTTCTGTAATGTTGTGTGCATTGCTTAAATAGGTGTTGAATTGTACCCCTGAAGAGAGCTGTATTTCAGTGGAGGGGAAAGAGATGCCTAGATATGAAGAGCCAATTCAGGTGAATTGTGTAAATACCCTCAAGCTGTGCATATGTTGATTCTGTAAAAGCGGCATATATATGTGCCCTGAGGGCACCCAGCAATATGTGCAATCCATGCACAGTCCCTCTATCCCCTTGCCAGTGTTGACATCTCTCTGTTTTATTGAATCTTGTTGTTTTTTAAAGCTTTCCCTTTTGGAGTCAGGTGATTATGCAAGAATTTCAGCCTTTGTTTTTGGTGACCCTTGTGGTTTCTGGGAAAAGTTTGAAAACATGATCCCCAAAGGTTCAAAAAGCAAATAAAAAGAATGCAAGAGTAGTGGCTAAAAATCGTGATATTTTAAAAAATAAATCTCATGATTTTGGGGTGCTGACAGGTGATTTTTGAATTATTGGGGCTGGCAATACTGCCTTACACAGATGACTACTGATAGCTCCTTCAGTTACTCCTGCTCCTGAACAGTGCTAAAAGCAAGAATAATCTGTGTGGGAGGAACATGTAAATTGGCCATTGTTGGACTATGCCACAGGAACTGACTTTTTCTCCTTTTCCCAGGGGTCCTCCACCCTTGCTCTGCCCTGAGGCCCCACCCCCACTTCGCCCCTCCTCCAAAGACCCACCCTCGCCCCACCCTGCCTCTTTCAAATTCCACTCTGTCCCTCCCCCGAGCATGCCCCACCCTCACTCTGCCTCTTTCCGCCCTGCTGCTCCCTCCCCCCCCACCCCCAGCACCTACTGCCGAACAGCGGATTGGCAGCAGGCGGGAGGCTAGGGTGACCAGATAGCAAGTGTGAAAAATCGGGATGGGGGTGGGGGGTAATAGGAGCCTATATTAAAAAAAAAAGCCCCAAATATAGGGACTGTCCCTATAAAATCGGGACATCTGGTCACCCAACGGGAGGCGCTGGGGCAGAAAGAGCTGATCGGAGGGTGGCTGGTGAGTGCTGAGCCAGCCATGGAACACCCAGTGTCCGCGCCTATGGAATATTCCAATGACTTCTAGGCCCCATCCCAGAACATACCACTACAATTCCACCTGCAGAAATCCTACAGCGCATGGAAACTTTTTGCTTGGAGCCACAAATGGGAATGAAAAATAGTTGTAATGTACTTTCCCTTGTCCTATGGCTTTTCTAGTGTGTGTGTGTGTGTGTGTGTGTGTGTGTGTAAGTGTAGGTTAGAATTCAATCCATGGAGCACTTTGGGTACCCTTCAGGATGAAAAATGCTATATAAATGTATGATTTGCAGTGTTGCAACTTTTGCAATTTTATCACAACTGTCCCAATATTCTTTTTTCGTGAAGTCCCAGTTCCTGGAGTCATTTTATTTTGTGAGAATCTCAGCTTTTATTTTTAAAATAGTATCTTTCTAGTCTTCTGGTTGAAAATGTGAACCCTGAAAAACAGAAGGCAAGTAAAAAGAACCCAAGATCTTAAAATCACAAGTTTTTGGAGGCCTTACTCATAATTTTTAAATGTTTGGGGTTGACAATACTGGATTCTTAATTTTAATTATTTTGGCAATAATATTGAACCTAAAAATCTAAAGAGTGAGTGAAGAAGTGTTGTCTATTAGCTGGGGGGCAAGGGAATGGCAGCCAGAACTCCTGCATTCTATTTCTGACACTGATGTAAGTATAGAATTTATGGTACTGTCTCTATGCCTCCATTTGCTTATCTGTAAAATGGAGACAGTAATACTTATCTGCCTCATGGGGTTGTTGAAATTGTAACTTACTTATGTGTAAAGTGCTTTAGACCTCCTGGGTTCCAATTTTGTGAGACTTCAGATTTGTTGAGAAACAAGTATCTGAAATGGTTTATCTGAACAACAAAATCTTATTCAGGTTCACCTATCTCTAACTCTTTGATATTTTACCTCAAAATTAAAGTAATTTAAGTCTTTTCTTACTAATTCTTTGCCTGTGTAAATATTGACTGGTCCCATCAGAATGTGTGCCACTCATGTCACTTATTCCACAAAGATCAGATTGATAGGCTTGGATTTCATCACTTAATGGTGACATCTTCGTCATCCATAATCTACAATGTTTGTAGCGATACCAGCACCACCACACAGCTTTACGAGGCAATAACTATGTCTCCTCATTTATCCACCCAGGAACTGGATTATTACCTCATAAAACAGTGTGATGGAAGTATTATCATTTAAATCCTACCTTGTTGATATTCACCAAAATAATCTTTTTCTACTAATGGATCTTGGCAAACCTTTCTATGTTTAAATGCATGAATCTACAAATTCAGAGTTTAATTTCTTATTAGTGATCATATCCTCTATTAACAGGAATGAAAACATTATTTAACTAAGTACCATCTCCCAATTTGTTTGCCTTGCAGGTTGTGTATATAGCTGAAGCTCATGAGCTGTCCTATATAGTGACAGGATTAAAACCCTACACAATGTACAACTTCACTATTACTCTCTGCAATCGAATTGAATGTGCAACCAGTGAGCCAAGCACGGGACAAACCTTAGCAGCTGGTAAGGAAATAATCTGATCCATGTACAAAGTTGACGCAGCTTTCTAATGAGTACCATTACAGATGATCATAGTTTGATGCACAGTGACAGGGATAGGTGTTGTATTAATATAAAGTGACTTGCTTAATTATAATTTGTTTACCTTGACAGTTTAGAAACAAAACAAAATGTTTTACATGCAGGTTTACAGTATACTCTAATGCGATAGGATTTATGTGCTTCTCTCTCAATTACAAGTCAGTTATTTAGTTATCCTATTCCTGTTTGTTTATATCATGCCCATCCATAGCTCTTACGCTGATTAGAGCTGATAATAAATCAGTTGCTTCTTATAAGTCTTCATGTGCCAGATTTTCAAATGAAGGCATGCGAAAGTGTATATGCACTTTTGCAAATGCTTGGCTTTACACGCGAGTGGGAGTTGCATTCTTTTCTTATGAACTGGACTTTCAAACTTTGACTAGCTTGTGTGTGGTGAGTATTTGTGTACCTATGCCAGGGACATACATGATGTACATGCATATTTTGGGTGTGCCCGTTTGAAAATATTCAGGTTATGAAGGTTCTCTGTTACAGAGCTGCAGTACTGTAAACATCAGTTCCAAATCTGTGGAGCACTTGCTGGTGAGTTGGCTGGTCACATTGCTCTCTCCTTATTTCCAGCTGCGGCGCTACATAAAAAAAAATTAAATAATTTCACGATATTACCATTTCCAGTTACGCAACTGCTGTATGGGATCATGAATGGGAAGGAGGTGGTCTTTGCAATGGTGAACAGTAGGAGACGTGATCCACAAAATGAGCTATCTATTGTGATGTGGTCCATAATATGAAAAAAAAATTGAGAACCCCTGCTATATAGAATATTTTTAAAGACTTTTTAATGTGCCCTTTTTCCCTTCCAGGGTTGCCTGTCTACCTGTTTTCAGTTATGGGGAAAATGATCTGTTCTCTCACAATGGATACCACTCCCTCACTGTTCAGGCCTTCTGTTTGAATGGACAGAGATGGCTCTGAGGTGGTGTCTCTTCTCTGTTTCAGGACTCCAGGGAGATTTCTTTGATCTCTTCATGCTGCAGCCCCTTTAAAATTTTAACTTGGCTGTCTTAAGAACCCATTCCATATAAGCATGACTTTACTTCTCCACCATCATTCCCAACCATCCAATTGTCATCTCTGGAATGGAGTATCAAATTAGTGCCAGCCTGGACAGCTCTGCATCATAGGAACCTCACTGTTCCAAGGGATTCCAAAGGCTAATAGCCCCAGAAACCAATATGACCTACATAGGACCCTTTGTTGTTATTACAAATTATCCAACCTTGCGTGTATATATTTATTCAAAGACTGAGAATGAATAGCTCGGTTAAGCTTGACAGCTTGTTTATGACTGTCTCCTCCTCAGTTGTGTTAATGCTTAGAGACCTATCACATTAAAGAAGACAGGAGAATACAAAACAGAATAACAGACAGGTCTGGATTTATTAGACTTTTCACATTATAGCATTTTTCTGTTCACCGTTTGCAGATCTTGAGAGTGACCACTTTGAGAATTGGAGGGTTCAGTCTCGTATTGCATTTGCTCAGTTGAAACAGTACTACTGATGTTGATTTCCCCAGATTTTATGCTCATAAATTTTAAAATATAAAGGACAAAACACTTGGATTTTGCATGCCATTTTTTTCTTTCACCATTCAGATTTTTCGTAACTGTAGCAAATTGTTTGCAATCCTACAGTTAAGTGTCTAATACTATTTCCATAACAGGTTTATATTTGCAACAGTTCCATCCTGGGAGAAAATATTTCTAAAAAAAAAGTATTTAAAATATATTTATTTTTTTAAAATAAAACCTCCAGGTTTTGTAATCTTCAAGTTAATATAAGAAGGTAGAATAATACCAGACAGATTTGGAGATGCCATTCCCATCAATAGCAGGGATAGTGGATCAGATCCTGCTCAATGCAAAGTCCTTGTTGCACTACTCAGTGGTTCAAAGGTGAATTAAAATTGCCTTGAAAGGGGAGGTGAGGATTCCCTGAGTGTGAAGGAATCTCCATTTGGCAAAGAATCAGAACACTGGCTCTGTGCCACTCCCTGTTGGCCCCCTGGCAGAAGGAGCTTGCTGGAGGAGGTGTGGCTGAAGTGTGCTTCAGTGTAATGGTCCCTTATGGCTGTTACAATCCAGTGCAATTTAGAGTAGCCTTGAGTTTTGTTACAGCTTGTGGTAGAGCCAAATGCTGCTTCCATTGACCTTTGACTTTTGAGAACAGAATTTGGCCCATTATCTCTTATTGATACCAGAGTGGAAGAACCTCCCCTCCCCCCCCAGTCTCTTTCTAAGCACAGTTTTATTTTCCAAACATAGGCAAAACACAAAAAGAGTTCCTCAGCCTACCATGGGCTACAGCTCTCAGGGAATTTTCCCTTTTGCCTTGTTATCTCTCCTTTTTCAGGACCCACAACAACATTCTTCTGTGCTATTTTAATTGAGCACTGCCTCTCAGGGCTTTCTCCTTGGAGGCCCTCTTTCCCCTGTAGGCTCCCAAGGGACTGGAGGCAGTGGGACTTTGGCAGTCTTGCTCAGGGAATTTCAGAGAAAGAGAGAGAGCTCAGAACCCAGAGTAATGAGAGTAGCGAGAGCTCAGAAGAAGGAACAGAGCTGGGCTGAAACCTTCAGGGCGGGGATGCTCCTGAAGCGGGGAGCAGTGGAGTCAGATCAGGTTCGTGAAAGCAGAAGGCAGTTGAGTTACCTGTGAACTTCCCCAGGACAGAGAGCCATGGCCAGAGAGGGTTGAGGGAGATACCTTCTGGCTCTCTAAGCTGGAGAGCTGGAGAGAGCGGAAGACTGGGAAATGATGGGGGGATGAGCTTGCTGAAGTCTCTAAAACCAAACCTGGTAAGCAAACAGGATGGAGACGCTCCCCAGCTCTAGGTTCTGAGGTGGGAGGTGGGGGTGAGAGGTGCTGGAGCTGTACTTGGTGTGTTGATATATTATTGGGACTTGAAAGAGTGAGTGTACTGTTTGGTCTGTGCTGGACAAATCTGGATTGTGGTGGAGAATCTTTTGTGCTAATTAACCCTGCAAAAGGTTATTTATATGTGGAAAGCTTGTGTGGAGTTACTGGAGGATACGGAAGAAAAGAGAAACTGAGGCAAAAGCACTGGTCCTGTGGTGCCCTGCTGCAGCACTAGGAAGGAGATGCCTTCTCACATATGGTGAAGAATGCAAGCAGGTGATCAGCCCATGGGAAAAAGGAACTGTGAATGCCTGGAAGAGGGCACTCAAGGCAGGGGGCTGCTTGCATGGTCACTCTGAAGCCATGAGGGGCACCCAGGACAGTTACCCTTGGAGACGGATCTTCAACTATTTTTTTTATTTTCAAAGTTTTTTTCTGTTTTGTGTTTAATTCAGACCATTACATTATGGATCACATTCCCAGCGGAGGTAATTGGCATAGCTTCATAGACTGGAGGTATACGAATTACACCAGGGGAGGATCTGGTCACAAGAAAGCGGTTCAAAAAATATAGTTGCATAGAATACTAGGAATATTTGCATCACTTCCTGAATATTAAAATGAGTTCAGAGATGTTTGTCATTAAGGATTTCTACTTCATTTCAGAGGTGCTGGAACAATTTGTATAGTGGGGTTGCTGAGAGCCATGAATCAAACTGTAAATCCTGTATATAATGGAAACCACTTAAAGCCAGTGGGTGTTGCAGCACCCCTAGAACCTCTAGTTCCAGCATCTATGGTCCATTTTTGAAAGCAGTTTATGGTCAAATCATGTCATTGTATATTTAATGCAGATTTCTCAAAGGCAAAACATTCAGGGGCTCAAAAGTTTTCTGTGAGGCACAGAGACATCTAGTTGTCTCTTTCTTCCCCCGCCCCTCCCATTTTTGGTTTGTGACATTTCAGCAGAATAGAATTAGCTGTGTGAGAACAGTAATTGCTTATCCTACAGATCTCAATATCAAATAGTCAGTGTGACTTAAACAATCTATACAGCTGTTTCATTAACTACTGTGTGACTGAACTCACTTTTTGTAATGAAGTTTGTCTTTCATTTGTCCTTTTGTAAGCTTTTTTTCAAACTTAAATTTAACAACATTTGTTTTTAAAAGAGACACCAAAACACACCCTTTTGATTGCTGCCATTCACCCCAGCACATTGTATTACTGCTCCTTTGCTTTTGATGGCAATTACAGGGTTCAGAAGCTAATTTGTAGAAGATATTCTTCCAGCAGCAGCTGCATCTGGCTTCTTGGCAGACTCCTCAAGCAGTTATATTGGTGGCTTTGGAGTTGCCTCTGGGTTTACTGGGGTAATGATGAGGATGGGCTGTCTGGGCTGTCTTACGCTCCTGGATGTCATTTTATTTTTTGATTACCCTTTTAATCTAAGTAATTTTGTCCATTTTTATCCATTTATTAAAAAAGTCCACTGCAAACTCTTTTGAAGAGCTACATTCCATTTGCACTAGCAATGCATCACTTGCTTATGCCTGTCATAAATTGGTTTTCTGCACAATTCTAAGCAAAAGTCTCAGAACAACCCATATCCCATTATGCTGGTAATTAATCGTGCATTAACTTCTCTCTCTCTCTATTAAAAGTAAAATATGAAAGCTGTTTGCTGCTGGGTCTGAAAACACACATTGTTTTGCATGCATGTACATAAGTCTTTTCATTGCGAATAGGACCCAAAGTGATTAAACAAGCTCTCTTAATATGTTAATTTATAATTTTAATTACAACAATCTTGTATATATAGTCATTAGTGAATACTAATATAAATATTTTTCTACCTTTTTATTCATAATGCATAAACCAATCATCCAGTTACTTCTCGGCAGTTGCCTGTTTTTGTTTCATAATACAATCTTTGTTCTCAGTTATGAATGCATTTTGTTCATTCCTGTCTTGAATAATCCCTCATTAAGCTAGTCACTTTCTGCTCCATGCTAAAAAGGAAAAATTATCATGCAAATATGGCATGCCATATTAAAAAGCACATTACCAAACACTTTTGTTGCTGTCCTTCAATTAGTTTCCCTTCTTTGAATTTAATTTCATTTGTTGTTAAACTACTGACTTGATGTATGGACTCATGAATTTGAGGCTGCTGCCAAGAATGTAGAAGGAAAAAAAAAATCAAAGCCTCTTCAGAAGGTTGCAGAGGCAAAACTGAAATGAATTTGCTTCACCTTTGACAAGAACACTTGAGCAGCATTTGAGTCGTCTGATGATTCAGCTTGACTAATTAGCCGATTATTTATTTCAAGAATAAAGGCACTGTTTTACAATTAGAGAAGTGTAAAGTAATCTAAGAAATTTGGTAATGACAGATGACTTAAGTAACTTCTGAGATAAACAGTATCTGCTCAAACTTGTCTCGCTGAGTGTTCTCAAGCTGTAGTTAAACTGCTCTTTGAGTCTTGGTAAAATAGTAGGAAGCCAATTGTTTGTTTGTTCGCCCAACATTACACTTCAGAAAGTAGCTCACATTATTCTTTTGCCAGTGTGTCAAATTTGCATGGTTTTTAAGGTATGTGTAAGTTGTATTTCTCTTGATTAAAAGCTTTTGGTTCAAAGCAATACTTTTTAATTGCCTAATGATATAAGTCAGTTCTTAGGAAAGAACCGTGCATTTAGGAGTTCATTTGCAATATAACTGAAAAATTCATTGCATGGCAGTAAAACAATTTACTGTTAATTACAAGGAGAAGAATTTGCTGTACCATGCTCACAGATTGCCATGAATCATGCAGCACTCCTAGAGATTTATAACAGATGTGTAAGTGGGATGAATTAGCAGGGTTTAATAACAGAGACACAAATCATGCAGACTTCAAGGAGCTTTAATTGATATACTAGAATGTGACGGGCATGAATCACTCAGCCATTCAACAGCACTGTAACATATGGTCAGCTCAATATGCTGCATCTTAAATCGGTTGGTAAGTCGTTGGTTGTCCCATATGGTGGAAGCAATATATTTTTCATGATTTTTTTTTTAAATACTGTATTTTACATCTATTTTTAAGATATGATTATAATACATATTATTAAATGGTCTCCTGATACCCATTATGGATGTTTTCTTATTTTTTTTTCCTTAAAATTTCTTTAAAAACAAACAAACTAAAAAGATTATTCTGAAAAAGTCTAAAATGATTGTCAGAAGCCATAAGTACTGTTGCTTCACTCATTTACTATTGCCACATTTGATCCTGCTTGAAGTGCATATGGAAGCAGAGCTTGTACCAGGAATGCTACAGCAATTGCAGGGACCTGTGAACCAAATAACCCATAGCAACGATGAAACTGATAGCTGTCTGGCTTTGCATATAGTTTTACTGATAGGCAAAATTTGGAGACAAATAGGACTCATGCCACCCTAACCAAAAAAAAAAAAAAAATTGCACCTCCAAAATGGTTGTGAAGTTCACAACTGCTCTGATTTGTATGTGCTACAGTATGAACTCTAATGGACAGCAATCAAAAGTTTAAGTATTTATATGTCTTCATTGTAAATAGTACAAACAAGAGTAACACCTTGCTCCTGTAATCATCTTGAAAACCTTAAATAGCTAATTGCAGACTAATACCGATGGGTACAGAAACATCCACCTGTAATACACTGAGAATTATTTATTCAAACATATACAAGTATGTAGACTGGTAAAGGTTTTGTAGCCAGACTGTAAACACATTTTTATTGGGACAGGAATCTGGCAGTCCGTGGAAAAGCTTTAGCAGTTGTATTAGTAAACCTGACAGACTTGAGAAAGGAATATTGCATCTTTAGAACTGTGGCTGCCAGAATTTAATGTCAACAATTAAAATTTATTTTGATCCTTACCTAGTGTTTATTACTGTTTGTATACACAACAGACCTTACTAATACAGAGATGCACTATTAGATGGAATTACCATCTGTTCAGAGTGAAATGCTGGCATCTGTCTTAGATTCTAAAACTAAAATGATATTATTTCAAACAAAAACAAAATTAACTGCTCTTTACTTAGCAACTTCGTTTTTGCATGTGCGCTCACATACATAGGAAAGGCTTATTTGTAATGACCTATATTTGGATATATGACTTTAAAATAAGCTATATGGACCATCTGTCTTTACTGGTCTTTTTGGTGCCCTCTGTTACTCAATGGCATGCAGCAATCATAGGCTTTTAAATACTGTTTTAGCTTTACAATATATTAAATATGTATTATAGTGCAAGACATTAAAACTACATAATTAAAATATCCAAAATGTGACTTTGAATCTACTAAAATACAGTATGCTCATTATTTTGACAGATGTGTCTTAACAGAATGTGACTGAAAAAAATTTAAATAGGTAAAATTATAGTCAATTCATCTTAACATAGTAGCTACAGGTACCACAGTGACACCTTTAGGAAAATATATACTGTATCTTTTAGTCCTGAATATTTTTAATTTCAGCATACAGTACCACGAAGGCCAACGTTACAGATTTATTTTCAGCTTTTTGGGGGGTCTGGACTTAAGGATAGGCTCTCACTGTGTGCAAGGAGGTGAATTCTCAAGTACCAAGGACATTGTAGTTTTAAATACTGATGTTATAGGAAAGACTTTCTGAAAGGCTAGGCTTCTATTCCATATATCACCAAATAATAAATTGTGTCATGCCAGTGTTTAATGCATGTACACAGTGCATTAACTGTAACTGTAGTACATTTATTTGTGCTAGAGGAGACTTGAAAATGATTAAAAGATCAATACTTCCCTGTCACAGAAGCAAGTGTTACGATGCATTTAAGTAGTTAATTGCATCAGCCCCATAAAAGCTTCAAGTTTGGGTAGCAGGGATGCCATAATTACAGTCCAAGCAGCTACCATTTATTAATGGTGGACTTCTAAGGGAGATATGTTTGTTGTCATAAGCATTGGCTATCTGTGTACATTTTAGAAATAATGAATTTTAGTGTTTCTGTTTTAGCATCAGTAAGTTGAACCGGAGGGCTCAACCTCAGTACTTGCATTTAAAATGCTGACGTACACCTATTCTCTCCAGCGATGAAGTTTTGATTGTTAAGCCACGTTTTCTGTTTAAACCTCTGCATTTATATTGAAATTCATTAGTATTCTGCCCTACTTATGCAGGGAAAGCTTATGACCTCACACCACACTACTTTAATTTTGACATTGTAAATTTCTAACATAGCGGTGTGATGCTAATTAGATTGTGAAGTCCTAAATGATGTCTAAGTAGGAATTTACAACACACGCAGTATGGTTGGGTTTTTTTCAATCCCTTCAAGAAGAGTATTTATCAAGTTGGAGGAAAAGAAATAACAACATGCTATGGGTTAATGGGAGAAAAGAAAAGTATGTTAATAGTCCTATAAATGCAAGAATCTTTAAAAGGACATCATTAATTCAATCCAAATGAAGGTCTATACAATGAACACATAGTATACACAAGGGCGTGTTGTGATGCAATTCATCAGATTTTGAAGACCTGTATTTCAGTCCAGATCATGTTATTCCTGAAGTGAGTTTGGTGCCGTATAGTCATCATGGGAATGGTTTAATTGAATGTGTTTCCATCATATCTCCCTTCCAGTCGCCCACAATGAAGATTCATTTATTAAATCCTTATTTATCAGACAGAGGGGTTACTAACAATATAAGATGGATATGGATTCCACTAATAAAGAACTACTGTACATCAGCTGTAGACAATAGCTGGTTACACTGCTTTGCTGAATCAATCCACTCACACCTGTAGGACCATCATTTCGTTATCCAAACAGGTCATGCTGCCCTCCAGTGGCTTACTGTACAGTGTTTTTTAAAAACTTCAGTAGTTTTATTTCTTAATTCAACTGTAGAGTAATCATCACAGTTGGCTTGATTAAATAGGTGTCACACTGAATGTTCCAGTATTGGGGGGGAAAAAAGTAATAATATCAAACTCTGTGACATGCTCATACCTGCAAAGAGTCAGTCTTCTATCAGCTTCGTAGTGTCCTACAGAGCACCAGCTTTTAGGCAAGAAAAGATGTAGAGTAACATTTACTCAAGTTGGAGAATTATCTGTATACATGACAATGGCTCATAAAATTATATATCTGCTTTGAGGAAGAATCTTTCATGGAAACAGTGAGGATGTGCCAAACTGGTTATTTGCTAGAGGGCAATCACCGCGTTGGTCCTCAATACAAGTACTGGGATAATGGTTGTGCTTTTGTTGACCAACATTTGTTCACTTTGTGGCAAAATCTTGTTTTATTATGTACCAGAGTGCTAAAATGCAGTTAGGAAGAAGCTACTAAAGTTTGATTTCCCTCTGAGCTTAGGCCCTGACCCTGCATTGAGAACTCTGTGGGAGTATGCCTACATGGAGCCCCTTAAGAGCAATGCAGAATTGGGGGCTAAGAGTCTAATCAAAGAGAGAACATTAATTCTATTATGCGGAAGTGATTCAGATTATTAAGGGTCCATAAGAGTTATGTCTCATGGTCTGCTAGGGATGGAATAGTAGATAATTGTATCCGAAGTTTGAAGAGCAAATGAGGCATTACTACAGGGTTGAGACTAGGGTTTTTTTTAAAATATCAAGAATCCTTCAATTAGTATAGTAGCACAGTATAGTGGCTCTGTGGAGATTTGCATTTATTGTTTGGTTGACCAGAAACTGGGTCCCTCATAAACAATATATTACGTGTATGAAATTAAGTTCCAAGCAGTCTGGACAGTTATGCATGGGTAACAATTTTTTTCCCTACACATAGCTCCAAGAAAACTTGCTGCCCCTCTTCTTGAAGGAGTAAACAGCACAGTGTTAAAGATAAATTGGAATGAACCTGAAGAACTTAATGGGCCTTCTCCCATCTACCAGCTGGAAAGAATGGATTCATCTTTAGCTATAACGAGGGTGGAAGTAATGAAAGGAATCCGTTTCCCAGGAAATGGTTATTACAAATTCCCCAGTTCTACTCTCCCTGCCAATACCGACTTTACAGGTAAATGAGTTTAAATTACTTACAGAATGTTTAAATTGTACTCTGCATTTGTTTTACCATTTATTATCTTCTATATCATTTTTATTGCTAGATCTGTAGATTTTACTTTGAGTATTGTGTGATTGTTAGCTATGGAAAGACTACTTCAGTTGTGCTAAGTCTATAACTGAATGCATTCACTTGAAAGTTACAAATTCTCACAAAGAACCTGTAGAAAACTTTATCAGACATGGGATTTTGATTCCTTTGGACTCAGACACTGAGCTATGGTGAACTCTGCTGCAGACATGATACATTTCTTAGTGGGAAGTATAAACTGGGTTTTTATTTATTTTTCTGGGGTGAGATCTCTGCAGTGTATTCACTATTGATTCTAAAGAGTGTTTCCTCCTCTGCTACCATTTAGTGTCCCAGTGGTGGTGTGAGAGCTGGTAGAAAAACTCTCTCTCCCTTGCTCCTGTTTTGGATTTCTCTAGTATTCTAAGAGTGATGGGACAAAATGTATCTGTGACTATGGACATCAGTGTTTTGGGTGTGTGGTGGGGGCAGGGGATGGGGGATTCACCAATCTGACAAATTGACTGGTACCTATAGTTCTGCTATTTCTGGGTTGCTGCTTCCTATCATCAGCACTCTTTCTGTCTTTGTTTCTGGCTTGGGAGAGTGAACTTTTCAGGTGGCAAGTATCAGAGGGGTAGCCGTGTTAGTCTGGATCTGTAAAAGCAGCAAAGAGTCCTGTGGCACCTTATAGACTAACAGACGTATTGGAGCATGAGCTTTCGTGGGTGAATACATGCATCCGACGAAGTGGGTATTCACCCATGAAAGCTCATGCTCCAATACGTCTGTTAGTCTATAAGGTGCCACAGGACTCTTTGCTGCCTTTTCAGGTGGAAAGCCTGTGAAAGATAAGAAAATAAGAACATAAGAATGGCCATACTGGGTCAGACCAAAGGTCCATCTAGCCCAGTATCCTGTCTACCGACAGTGGCCAATGCCAGGTGCCCCAGAGAGAGTGAATCTAACAGGTAATGATCAAGTGATCTCTCTCCTGCCATCAATCTCCACCCTCTGACAAACAGAGGCTAGGGACACCATTCCTTACCTATCCTGGCTAATAGCCATTAATGGACTTAACCTCCATGAATGTATCTAGTTCTCTTTTAAACCCTGTTATAGTCCTAGCCTTCACAACCTCCTCAGGCAAGAAGTTCCATAGGTTGATTGTGTGCTGTGTGAAGAAGAACTTCCTTTTATTTGTTTTAAACCTGCTGCCCATTAATTTCATTTGGTGGCCCCTAGTTCTTATATTATGGGAACAAGTAAATAACTTTTCCTTATTCACTTTCTCCACACCACTCATGATTTTATATACCTATATCATATCCCCCCGTAGTCTCCTCTTTTCCAAGCTGAAAAGTCCTAGCCTCTTTAATCTCTCCTCATATGGGACCCATTCCAAACCCCTGATCATTTTAGTTGCCCTTCTCTGAACCTTTTCTAATGCCAGTATATCTTTTTTGAGATGAGGAGACCACATCTGTACACAGTATTCAAGTTGTGGGCATACCATGGATTTCTATAAGGGCAATAAGATATTCTCCGTCTTATTCTCTATCCCTTTTTTAATGATTCCTAAAATCCTGTTTGCTTTTTCGACTGCCATTGAACACTGCGTGGACGTCTTCAGAGAACTATCCACGATGACTCCAAGATCTCTTTCCTGATTAGTTGTAGCTAAATTAGCCCCCATTATATTGTATTTATAGTTGGGGTTTTCTTTTCCAATGTGCATTACTTTACATTTATCCACATTAAATTGCATTTGCGATTTTGTTGCCCAATCACTTAGTTTTGTGAGATCTTTTTGAAGTTCTTCACAGTCTGCTTTGGTCTTAACTATCTTGAGCAGTTTAGTATCATCTGCAAACTTTGCCACCTCACTGTTTACCCCTTTCTCCAGATCATTTATGAATAAGTTGAACAGGATTGGTCCTAGGACTGACTCTTGGGGAACACCACTAGTTACCCCTCTCCATTCTGAAAATTTACCGTTTATTCCTTCCCTTTGTTCCCTGTCTTTTAACCAGTTCTCAATCCATGAAAGGATCTTCCCTCTTACCCCATGACAACTTAATTTACGTAAGAGCCTTTGGTGAGAGACCTTTTCAAAGGCTTTCTGGAAACCTAAGTACACTATGTCCACTGGATCCCCCTTGTCCACATGTTTGTTGACCCCTGCGCTCTATTGAAATAATCTGCTTCTGCTGATGCCCTTCATTTTGTGGACCAGACAAGTGTGTTTCCAGGGCATCAATGGAAAGTTGAGCTGCTTGGGAAATGTCTAGGCCAAGCTGATGATGATTTCTGAGATGCCAGCTCATGGTACCGATTGAATCTGGTGAAAATAATGAAGGCCAAAGTGTTCACTTTTCTCTGATTTCCTGTTGACGTGCTGAATAAATCAATGTCAATTAAAAGTCTTGTATTCACTCATTTTGCTGACTTTGTCTTAAGGTGCTTTAAGCACAGTGGTGATTCATGGGAGTTGTGCATAGCAAGCCCCTAGCAACAGCCAGTGGACTCTCCACAACACCTAAATTGCTTGATGTTCGTTCCCCTGATATTAAAAGCATGTAACCTCCCCTGCATGTTTAGTGAAAATCTTTTTATTTGCTCATCCCATTGTCTCTCTGTACTGTTGTGTTCTAAACTGCATAGGGATCAAGGGTGCAGTTTTTCTGATTGAGCTATTGCTATCAGCTCCCATCTCTCCAGTGGAGGGGGATATTCCCACTATTAGTCTGAGGAGAGCCAAAGAGTGATGGATATCACTGAATCTCCCCTCCACTCGTGCTCAGAAGCCCCGGAGTGTTCCATTTCCCTTCAATGGGTGGGACAGCTAACTGGGCTCATTAATGTAATCTGTTCTGTTGTCGTGACTTTGGTGCTACAAGCGAAGTGTTGTTTGACCATGGGACAGTGCAGTCAGGTTGTTTGTACTATTGAAACTGAGGTCTAGGAGGAAGGAGAAGGTCTCTCTGGAGATGGTTGAAGCGGACTCTGGAAGGTATAGACAGAAGGGATGGGAGAAGATGTTAAAATAAAATCCCCTTTAATTTGCCATTTTGTGGTTTCTTATGATACAGTTAAATGTCATTTATCATCACTTGGGATTATAATCTTTCTGTGGAGATCAGCTATTAGTCATAGTATCTGGAGATGGGCTGGGACTGAAATATGGTAAGCAATTTGTCCAGACATCTACAGATAACGCCTGGCGATCAGGTTAAATCAGCCAGTATGATACCCAGAAATGTAGAAGTCATGTATCTTGACAACTCAATAAATTATCCACAAATAAAAACATGGGTAGCTGTACATTCAGTCATCTGGATTCAGCACCCCTTCCAAAATATCACTGGGGGAGAGAGAGGGCAGAGAAATTGAAGAATGAGACCATCAAAAGAAAGAAGTGTATGGAAGGTAAAAAATCCTTTTTAATTGTTTTCTCCACATATTCCTTCCCTAAATCTTTCCCTTACAATGCAGTACTGAAGTCAGGCATTTAGCATACAGTGTATTCTTTAGATGGAATGGTTTCGCTATGCATACAGCTGTGTGCATTTTTGACACAAAAGTGTGCCAACTTGTACATGCCAGCCAGCAGACATGATGTGTGTGAATACTTACTGTTCCAGAAAAGACAGATCCATTTATTCATTGCTAATAAATGTAGTTGTCCTCACTGCCTTCCCTGATCATTCTTATACTCTGAGGGGCAAGTAATAGGGGCAGATGTATTATCTGGGAAGTTTTCCAAATTCATCTTATAAAAAGAAGTTAGGCAATAAACATTGGCTGTACTAAGAAGCATCCTTCTGTCTGTAACAAAGCCTCCAGCTGCACAGTAAAATGTGCTCTGAGTATACATTAGGTAGAGAGGAAGTCAGGTATAGAAGAAAATCACTTCTGCCACAGCTGTCCACAAGCAACTTGTCAGTTCCCAAAACTATGAAGAATTTTCCTCTATACAGCTGCATGTTTAAGGCATCTGCAAATAGTCTTTTACTGAAGAGGCGGATTGAATTATTTTGAACACTCCTGCCCTACCCTGGAAGTAACAAAACATGTCCTAAATTATCTGCATTCTCCATATTTTGCAAAATGTTACCGGGTGCACTAATTGTTAGTAATTTTGCTTAGGTGATGCTGTTTCAGGTCCTGTTATATCAATGTTGCTGGTACTGTTTCACTAGACTCTTTTGCAGTCTCTGAAGTGTTCAAAATACACTTTGTTTCATGAGACGAACTTAACTGGGGAGGAGGTCAGTGAGGTGACTTCCATGACTATGGTTATGAGAACATCTAGCAATCTCCGTCTGCAGAAGGTGGAAGGATGGGAACTCCTTTCTGCCCTAGAGATGTTGATGAAGCCAGGTGGTCAACGTATATGTTCCCTTTAAAACATTACCTTGATTCTGGTTCTGAGACTTGCTTAGAAGCTACTATTTTTGTTAATGCGTTTTTAGCATGTGTCCTTATGTTTAAAATTCTCTTTGGTAATAAAGAAAATGGGGGGGGGAAACTACTGATATCTTTGTTAATTTTCCAACTGTGGATTTAGTGGCTGGTTAGGAAGAGGGAGTCGATTACAGTTTAATATGTCTTAATTGGAGAAAGTACTCTTTAGGGCAGTTTTTCAAAGGGCCTTCCAAAATACCTGTTTGTGTGCCATAAAACTCACTTACAAGTCTAAGGGCTGGTCTACACTTACCCCCCAAATCGAAGTAAGGTACGCAAATTCAGCTACGTGAATAACGTAGCTGAATTCGACATACCTTACTTCGACCTTACCGCGGTTCAGACGCGGTCCACACGCGGCAGGCAGGCTCCCCATCGACTTCGCGGTACTCCTCTCGCTGAGCTGGAGTACCGCAGTCGACGGGGATCACTTCCTGGTTCGATTTATCGCGTCTAGACCAGACGCGATAAATCGA